TTTAAATATATATATATATATATATATATATAATCATTACAAAAACTACATAAACAGCTGTTTGTAGCTCATTTATGTACATAAATGCGTACAATATATATATTATATATGTTTGTGCATTCGCATGTATGTATGTGTGCATGTACATATGAAGTTTCACCACCGCCACTACACTAACCATCTACCGTATATTGCAGATAAGACAGTTAATAAATAATTGTTTTTGATAATTTCAAAGAATTTTCGTAACTTATCGCCTATTGATTTGCTAAATTTTAAGCTATTTTTCTAGGAAGAGTTTACAAACAGCGTTGACAAATTATCAAATCAAATCAAATATTTCTTTATTTATTTATTAATGTTTATCGTAAACACCCTCTCTACTTTCTACTCGTTCTCTAGCATTATTCGCCATTTTAGGCGAACGGGGGTGAGTGCGAAAATTGTTACTTACAAAACGCTATCACAACCATTTTCCAACAACAACTTTTCTTTTTGTCTAAGGCTGCAACTACCCAACGAGCGTACCAGCCGTCCATAAGTGGCGACGTCGAGGCGAGATAAACACACGACTTATCGACGTCGCTGAGAGCGGCGAAATGTTGCCAGCTGCCTGTGTGTTTGCACACTTTTGAACAAATTCATAATTTTCGTCAACGAATTTCATAATTTATTTGCTTTAACATAAACACAAGGCAAATATACATGATCTATATAGTAACAAATAATTAGTTACGCATTTAGTTTTCATTTCTTTTGAACAAAACTACGCATTATCTTCGATTATTTAATGTTACTTTAAGAAAGGCTATACTGGCAACCTTGTATAGCAACGAAAAATGAGCCGAGCCGGTTTTACGGAAAAATCAAAACTTCGTTGGTTTCTGCGACACAAACGTCAGCAACGCTATGGTAAATCGGTGACAACTTTGTGTTTACATGGCGCTCTCATAAGATAGGTTACTATGGACGGCTGGTACGCTCGTTGGGTAGTTGCAGCCTAAGCGCAAGTTGTTTATCGTAGCACTTGAACGGCGTTGAAAATTAATTTAAAAAAAAAAAAAAGGAAAATTGTTTATGAGCCTATTAATCATACTTCTTGGCCATAAGCCTATTGGTTTTATTGAAATTGCATGGTTTAAATACTTTATTTTTATTTTTTCGTTTCGAATGCAGTAAGGCATCTGCAAAATCGGTATAAAGTACATAATTTATTTATGTAGGGAAAAATATATATATATCTTTGACTATATTAACGTTGTTCTATCACACAAAAAAAAAAAAAACGTCTCAAACTGCTACCAAATTACGTTTTAACTTACATACTTATGTACATACAAATTCGTTTTACTTTCCTTTTTTTTAATACACTCGAAATCACATTTCAGGAGTATAAACTCCCATTTTTTTTTTTGGAAATAAATTACTGCTTATCAGCACATATTTATGTATGTACATACCTCTTTTGCCGGTATCTTCGGCATACGTTTGCGGATCACAACATTTTCCGGCAAATTCAAAAATTCCAAAAACGCAGTGCGCACTTCCTGCTTTGAAATGCTCCAATCGGTTTCAGGTTTCTCAGTTTGAAGATCGTATAGGTGCAAAAGAAATTGGCCAATTGCCTCTTTTTCTATTAGTGAGACGAGAGATGATCATAATAATAATGTGAAATTATATTCAATTATAAACTATTGTTACTCACCAAAGGCTATTGACAATGTTTTACGTGATTTTTTCGCCATTTTTACGACAGGTTTGCTAATGGTCAGTTATTGTTTATTGCTTGTATGAATGTTTGTATGTACTGTATAATCAAAATTCAACAAAGGCGAAAATCATTTATTTATTAAATGTTTTTCTATTTTTTTTTCTTCTTTATTTTTGAAGAAGAGGTGGGTGTTTGCTGCTTCTTGATGTAAAATACTTCACATACATATACGTATGTAATGAAATGAACTGTTTCCGTTAGTGCCTGCTGTAATACTGAAATTTTGCATGGATGCAACAAAAGCCGAAGCAGCGAAGCAGCATCGTCGACAGTGTTGGTAAAACGCTGCGTTAGAATAATTTCAAAAACACAGTAGAACTTCGGTATTTTTTTTGGTACACACAAATACTAATATGGAAAAGAAAATTTGTTGTAAAAAGTTTGTTGCAGTATAAAATTGAATTTGTGTTGAAATTAAATTTTTCCCTCAAAATTCTATAACTGTAATATGATTTAAAATTATATTAAAACATACCAACACTGTTCCGCATTCTAACTACTTATCTGCCTGATTTTCAATACAAATATACATATACATGGTACGTGTGTACATACACACATTCAGGCATATGCATTCAACCAAACAAAACAAAACAAAATCTTTTGTTGTTTTTGTCAGCAATATTCGTTGCACACGATCAGCCGATTGTTTATTTGTATGCATATACAAAAGCATACATATATACATACACGCATATGTTTTCGTATATATACTATTTTGTATAGAAATTGGTAATTCCCCGAGCAGCTGGCATTGTAACTACGAGCTACGCGAAAAACTAAAGATAATAGCTTAACTTATTTAACAACTAACAAAAAGACGAACCAATTTAGGTACATATATCATGCATACAGTATATCAAATAATTATTTGCAAAATGAAAAAATCACAAAAATCTTTTTTTTTTAAATCTTATTTTATAAATGAAAGTAATTTTTTTTTTTTTTTTATAATTGGTGGTGTTAATCTAAGTAACAAATATCTCTCGCAGAAATAACAAAAATTAAAACCGAACGGCAAAAAAAAATAACGAATTTAAAATTCACCAATTATTGGGTTGTCAATTAATTCTTTGTAAAATGTGCACACAATTCAAATTTTGTGGCATTTGTGTGCATTATTTATGTTGAGATTATTATTTAAAAAAAATGAAGTTGAAAAAAATTGTTTTAGTTAGTTTGATTTTTTCATTTTTCAAACAATTAATTGGCATACTGTATGTATGTAGATATACTCCATTTACAGGCCCATTCGCACTGGAACCGGCAAAGTAAATTTTGTTATTCTTTTTTAACACCCGAAATTGAATTTGGTATTGTTACGATTTTACTAAATCAACCTCGATTATTTTCTAGATCCTTCGGGTACGATCTCTGGATTGTTAAATAAAAACTCGCCAACTTAATTTGCAGTTTCTTTCGTTATAAAGATTCTATCTAATGTCCTTTATTTTCTCAGTAATTCACAATTCAATTATACTGCACTTTACTATTTATAATCACTAACATCAACTTTCACAATTNAACATAAACACAAGGCAAATATACATAATCTATATGGTAACAAATAATTAGTTACGCCTTAATTTTTCATTTCTTTTGAACAAAACTACGCATTATCTTCGATTATTTCATGTTACTTTAAGAAAGGCTATACTGGCAACCTTGTATAGCAACGAAAAATGAGCCGAGCCGGTTTTATGGCAAAAATCAAATCTTTGTTGGTTTCTGCGGAACAACCGTCACTAACGGCATGGGCAAGCGGTGACAACTTTGTGTTTACATGGCGCTCTCATAAGATAGGTTACTATGGACGGCTGGTACGCGCGTTGGGTAGTTGCAGCATAACTCGTATGTTTACCTCGCCTTTTCGTCGCCACTTATGGACGGCTGGTAAGTGAAATGGGTAGTTGCAGCATAAGCGACATAAAAAAAGTTGAATGAAAACGTTATCTTCCAAATTAAAAGGGTCATTTGTTTCTCGCGAACTTCTTAGCATAAGCCCTTTTACACTTTTTTCTTCATCTTCAATGAATTCCAGGCCTAAAATATGCCTGCTTCTCAAACTTACAACACAAAATCAAACAGCAGATTTTTTTCTTACCTCCTATTTCGCTGGTAACGTAATTTACAGGGTGACAGTGAACTCAGAATACGAAGTAGTAACAAAATTTACCGAGTGGTAAATTTTAATACCTCAGCAAATATTGTTACCTCGACAGAATAGGCCTGTTAGTATATGCACTAATAACTGCAGTGAATTTTCGTGACTTTTGCCAAAGTTAAGATCAAAAGTAAGTAGGTATGTATATATGTAGCTATATTATATACATACATATGTATGCACAAATTGGTGAATACTAAAAGTTAAATTATAGATGTCGTGCCATAAAACCACAGCCGTAATCATAGGAGGAGCTCGGACGAAAATCGTTTCAGTGATTACAAGCGCCAATTATTATAATTATAGTCACTGCCATAATTATATATTCATATACCATAGCCACAAACCGGGCGATTTTTGCAAGTAATTATAACTAAATATACGATTTGATATAACTAAAAATCAAGAAAGCGAAATTAATATAAAGTTGCATTGTTTGTTTGGTAGCTACGGTTATGGTATGGCACGAATAATCGTAAGCAATTTTGCCGTTTAATTTGATTGGATCAGCTTTTATGATATGGTATGATTATGGCACCTCGAAACTGGGCTTAAGTGCTACTCATAAACAGCTGCGGTACAAAACGATACCATACACAGTTGACCGTGCGGTATGAGCGCACATTCAGTAAGCAAAGTTTCACGCCGTACACCCTGGAAGCGTAAGCAAGCGTATGGTATGGTTGGTAATCAATCCGTGTGGGATCTTGGATCATGGCTAAAAAAAAAAAAGAGGAAACTTCAGTGAAGCCACTTGAATATATTCGGTTTAAGGATTTGCTGAAGCCCAATTGCAGCGGCTGTTCACCACTGCGGGTTAGAGGTTCAAGAATATACGCGCGTTAAGAGGCGTAAGCGGCGACTAAAATCCCATAGTTCCCGCGGCAGTCGTGTCTTTATACCGGAACGACCCGGATTTTTTATCCGGCCAAGGACTGTCACTCCCGCAACATTCCTCAAAAATTACTTTGACTAATAGTTCTGCCGTTACAACAACAACAACAACAACAACAACAACAACAACAACATCATCATCATCAACAACAACAACAACAACATAAGAAGAAAAAGCTGAGCATTGCATTTGGTATTTTTAATTGCTCCCTTCGGCAGCATCTCAGCAGAAATTGCTTGCTCAATCTGAGCAGACCTTAAGATGACTCAGGCCATTGACTTGGTTGCATCTTACCGAAATGGAAGAATGGTGGTGTCTTTTCGAACCAAGGTTAGCTTCGATGCCAGCCCCCGTGAGAACGATTTGGAGCTTAACTTATTAAACCGGCGGTCGTGAGAGTTGGAGGAACTTTAAACCCTATATATTAATATATATGAAACCCAATTAACCACTTCTACCTTACCTAACCTCAACAGAGTTTCTTAAATGCTTGTATTTAAATAAAAAAAGAAGTATTAAATAAATTAACATGTAGATGACTACATATGGTTTTTATTTTTAAAATAATGTTTATAACAAAAATTAATAAATTGTGCTACTACTAATAATGAGGAGGGGAAGTAGACTTTTATCGGCATTAATTACACCACTCCACACTCAAATCACCTACATAATTGCAAAAAAAAAAAAAGAAAAAATTTAATTAAAATAGAAATTTTTGAAAGATATTTTTATGTTTTTAAAACTTACAGCTTTTAATAACAGTGCCCAAGCGTTTGCATTCTTTTAAAATATATTTGAAATCTGAAAACTGTGACATTGTATCCGGATTTCCCACCAGAATCAAAAGTGATTGTGCGCGAGATATGATAACATTGAAGCGCTAAAAACAAATGAAATTACAAATTAATAAAAAAAATAAAAAATAAATACTTTTAGGCATTGAGAATATGTGTTAACTTAAGTATTTCTCATACATACCTTTCTAGCAGCTGTGAATCCTAAAGTGGAGTTAGATTTTACGAATGAGGCGATTATCACCGGTTTTTCGCGTCCTTGAAATAATTCCACGGTGCCGACTTCAACGCCAAATATTCCCCTTTCGAGCAATTTATTTTTTAACATGGTACACTGTAGGTTATATGGGGAGATGACACCAATATCCTTGGAAGTGACTTTTATGTAACGATCAGATTCCAACTTCTCAATAATTTTAACGATGGCACAAACTTCTGCTAAATTGTAGTAGCTTTTGCTATTCTCTATTGTACCAAGTTTTCCATGAACACATTGTACTAATATGGGAAAGTTTTTATCTTTCATAAGCGGTACGTTTTCCACATTTAATAGTTTATCTGAAAATATAAAGTATGTGCATACATAAATAAATAACATGAATTGTTTGTAATATTACATTTGCATATACATAAAAAAATGGCAGGAGGTTAAAAAATAAATACAATATATATTTTAGTTTTAGTTTTTCGAGAATTTTTGGTAAAGAACAGCTCGAAATGAGGACTCTGAGCGCAATGATGAAAACCTTTCTTTGCATATTTAATCGCTCAATGTACTTTTCTTATATATTTTAATTAATATTCTCAAATCATCATTAACGAATGCCAGCACAAAGATCTGCTAATAAATATCTATACATGCTTAATTTGAAAAGTTTTCTACTATTTGCTACTTACCCATATTCACTTGAGCTATTAAATCACCCTTATAATAGAGACGATTATATAAGCCCATAATTTCCGGATGCGAACGATAGTTACGACGCAAAAGCGTCAGCATTGTTTTATCGTAAGTACCATTGGCAGTTTTACGATAACAGTGGCGGGTAAGTAGTCGTTCCATTACCGAATGATTGAGACCAAGTCCACCAGCGACTGGTGACTTAACCACCGGTCTCAATTGTTGCGTATCGCCAGACAATATTACACGACAATGACGCGTATCGACACTCGTTATAGCAATTAACGCTTCCGGTAATGTACTGGTGCCAGCTTCGTCAATAAAAATATGCGTAAATGGCCAATTACCCTTTGTTCCTCTACGCAATCGGCCCATGGTGTTGAGCGTCAAGACGATTATATGAAATTTCTTTAGCAATTCAACACTTGGGGCCAAATACATCTCATTGTTATAATTCGAATATTCGAGCAGAAGGGGATGTAAGGAGTTCTTATTTTTTGTACAATTTTGTCTCGAAAATACCCGCAATATATCCACATTCACCAGTTTTTGTGTATTAGCTTCGAATATGCGGCGTGATTGTGCTATATTTTGTAGTTGTTTATTAGTAGTGAAAAGTTCGCACAATTTTAATGCGAGTGTATCGCATGCAGAATTTGCGCTGGCTGTTACCAGTATATGAGGCGAAGTTTCACGCATGTAGATTTGTAATATAGCTTCGACAATAGTTGTTGTTTTACCAGTGCCTAGAAGGGAATTTGAATAAACATATTAGATTAATCGGTGATGATAAGTACATAGGCACGTATGTATGTATGTGTGTATGTTTAATTTAAATTTTAACTAACGAAATACATAAAAGACCGTGTGTGTGGTGTGTTTATGACCCGGCCTATCGGTCGTATATAGTCTTATAACCCATTCTACAGCCTCCAAAGTATGAAAACTTAGCGGCTGTTTCCGGTTTGAGCTCACAGCTGTGATTACCTGATCGAATGTAATTTTCATTTCCACAATGGTACAACCGCTCAATGCTGCCAAGTTTTGTTTCGTATTTACGACTAGTTTTACTATTGTGAATGGTTCACATGGAAGCAGAGAATGTAAATACAATTACTTTACGTTCTCTGATGGAAGGTGTCAAACAGACAAGGAAGTTTTGCATTTCAAACCGGAATTTGAAATTCAAATAAGTCGGACAAAGTTTAATCGTAAACATATAGTTATTTATTAATTTTGATTTTGTATTGTTCACTTTCTGAACTGTCAAAATATTGGAGTTTTTTAAGTACCCTCGAATATTTGTATGGCTGCAACTACCCAACTCACTCTCCAGCCGTCCATAACTGACGACGTTAGTAGTGAAATACATACACGAGCTATCGACGCCGCTGAGAGCGGCGAAATGTTGCCAGCTGCCTGTGTGTTTGCACACTTTTGAACAAATTCATAATTTTCGTCAACGAATTTCATAATTTATTTGCTTTAACATAAACACAAGGCAAATATACATGATCTATATAGTAACAAATAATTAGTTACGCATTTAGTTTTCATTTCTTTTGAACAAAACTACGCATTATCTTCGATTATTTAATGTTACTTTAAGAAAGGCTATACTGGCAACCTTGTATAGCAACGAAAAATGAGCCGAGCCGGTTTTACGGAAAAATCAAAACTTCGTTGGTTTCTGCGACACAAACGTCAGCAACGCTATGGTAAATCGGTGACAACTTTGTGTTTACATGGCGCTCTCATAAGATAGGTTACTATGGACGGCTGGTACGCTCGTTGGGTAGTTGCAGCCTATGTCATTTGGGACGACCGGGCAAATTCACATAAGATAATAATGTTAACAGCAAGAATACAAAAACAAAGAACCAATGTATTTCGTCAAAGCGATAAAGTTCCAAATTCACTAAAAATATCATTTATAAAATATTTACAAATATATATTAGCTATGGTTACTTACCGGGAGGGCCAAAAAGTATATAAGGCGAATAGGGATTCGCACCGGAAACAATCTGTTCTATAGCTTGTATTTGTTCCGGATTTCCTTCGATACTCTTATTGAGTAAATTTAAACTTTGAAAAGAGATAAGGAAAAAAATTATATTATACATTTAGTATATTTTACATATTTTCAAAATTCAACAAACTTACTCCAAATCCGTGTTACCCTGAGTATAATAATTTTTGTTTGGAAAAAGGTATTCAATCCGCTGTTTGTTCAACAATTCCAAAGCTTTACATTGATAACGATATTGCATACGAAGTGGACGAAATATTATGTCATATGGTTGGCTGGTATTAATGCCTTCTGTCTGTACATATGCAGTGTTCCCCCGCAATGCGTCGAGTATAAAGACTTGTCGTCTGATATTTTCATTATTTTCATGTGATTCGTGGGGATGTTCTAACAGTAAATCGATTGGATATCGCAATTTATGGTTGCTCTCTAAAGAGCTTAAGAGTGGCACGAAGACCACTTCGTCATTTCCGGGATTTAAAATTGCCTGTACATTTACGTCGGAAGGTACATCAATCTACACACAATATAAAAAAAAAACAGAGAGAATTGAGTTATGAATTAGCAAATGCTTAAATTAAATTAATATACATATATAAAAATTTTATAAACATTTTTAATTGCTATGGGAAATCAAAAAGGATCAAACAAAAAAGTAAATATATGTATATATATGTTATTTATTTTTGATACTTATTTCATGCGAAATAAACTTAGTGAATATTTCTACTGAAACTACACTTTATTAGGGTGGAAACACACGTATATATAACGTAAGGAAACCATATTTGCATTAACTATATTCTAATATTTTGTTGCAAGGCAACGGATCATATCGTGCAAAAACTATTGGTAGAAAACAAGACGAATTAACGGTTCGTCCTGTGCTAAGTTCGGTGGTGTTGTGAAATGTACTATGGTGGATTGGAATTAACATAGCCATAGCTTCAGCAGCTACTGTCACAATCATATGATTTCTGTCATTTTGACAAAACCAAAAAATTAAATTTAAAATAAAGAAAAGGCAAAGTGATGAAAAATACGTTGCAAACGTGATAACAAATGAATAATTGAATAGTAGGCAGTTAATTCTAGCAAATAAATAAATCAATATATGCATATTTTCAACTTACCTCAAATGAAACGGTTTTGCCGATTTGAGTGACTTTTACATTTTTCAAATACATTTGAACATACGGTGCCATATTATGCAAATCTTCTATTTGTAGAAGCATTTCGTAAACGGCCGAAATATTTCTGCGCGTTAATTTCAATGACTTTAAATAGTCTCTGTAATAAAGAAAGCATATATGTACATATGTATGTACATAGAATTATTAATAAGAAAAAAATAGTATGTATGTATATTATTTATTTTACGGACTTAATATGCAGTTAAAAATTGCTAAAAACAATTTTAATAAAACTTACGCTATATCTTCGTCGATTTCAGATAGCTCTTCCATTACAAACGAATTTTCCTGTGCCATCTTCATTTTCAACGATGGATAATATGGATGCAGCCCTGTGATTGACCTGAAAGCACCAAAAACTCCCAACATACCAGCTGGTGGTACATGCTTGTATTCGTCATCGTTTGTAATTTTAAGATCTTCGACATGCCCACAAATATCAGAAATCGAGCCATAGTCAGATGTCGAAGATTCAGAATTTGGTGAGTTTGTCTGCAAAAAATAAAAAACTAACGTTTACAGAATATATTCAATTAAATAATCATAAATACTTCTTAATTACTTAAGATTCGTAGAAAGAATCTATAATTCATTAGTTTTGTTTTATTTTTAATATTTGAATTGAAAACATGTATATATATATATTATATATTAATCTAAAAACCATAAATTGAGCTGCGCTTGACCTTTCGATATTAATTTGAAAATCGGGCTTACATAAGACAAATTAAAAAAAAAATAAATATTTGACGCTCAAAATTTGAATGTAGATTTTGTAATAAAAAAAAACTGTATAACTGAAGGCAATTCACACACACGGTAGTAGCAAGAATACAAAAATAAAAAGCCTATGTATCTTATTTGTGTCTACGTAGTTTCGAAAAGTCAAAATCGAAATTCGTTGAACGTATTGTATTTATTTCTCATGTATTTCGCTTGTGTAATTTGTTGAAATGAAAGTAAGAGCAAGCAATCATAAGATGTGACAACTTCACCATCTATAAATTAACATTGTGTATAACTCTTAGCACATATTGTTTTTCTGAATATTAGTGTTAAAAAGTCAAACATAGCTAACTTACATACATACATATATACGCCACTTCTAAATAATTTTTTATCAGATTTGTTCGGAAAAATATTCTTAGCAAGGTACTTAAAAAAAAAAAAACAAAAAAAAAAACCAAAATAAAAAAAATAAAAAACAAAATAATAATAAAAAAAATAAAATTACCCTTTCCATTCTGAACCTTTAGGTATTAGGTATTTTAAACTTCAAATAAATTTTGTAAGAAAAAAATTAACTATTCTATTTAATAATATTTTGCATAGAAGTTTTCACCAAATATTCACTAAATTTTCACAAATGCGCTAATTCAGTTGCGACAAACGAACAAATTGAAGATCACTGATCAACTGATGCCTCCGGTATCCTTTGGGCCTATTTATGCGAAACTTACGACTATATCTAGCTCTGTACAGGCAGCACATACGTGTAGTTCTCGGAAGATTTAATCCCTTATTATACATTCACGTAACATACATACATACATACATATATACTTACAAAGGATTGTATGCCCTTAAGTAGGCAGATGATTATTTTGTATAAATCTGTTTCCGGAAAACATAAATAAACAAAAAAGAAACATAAATATAAACATAGGCATATTTTTAAAATTAAGATAATAATACCATATTTTCAATAAATTATTCATTATCGTTCATATTTGTACTAAATAAATAAATTGAATTGCTATATATGTACATATATACATTTAAAATAAAATAAAAATAGAGAAAAAATAGTAACTAATAAAAAAAATTAATGTAAAAATAAAATTAAAAAAATTAGAAGAATATTAAGAGATAAAATAACATATGAAAAATGAAAGAAAAAAAGGAGAAAATCAAAATAAAACAAACAGAAATCAAAATAAAAAATGGGGGAAAAAATAAGAAAAATGTGAAAAAAGTGAGAAAAAAAGATGAAAAAATAAAAAATGAGAAAAAAAATAAGACAAAAAAATAAAAAATGAAAAAAAATAAGACAAAAAAATATTAAAAAAAAATTAAAAAATGAGAAAAAAATAAAAAAAAATTGAAAAAAACTAAAAAAATGAGAAAAAAACTAAAAAATGAGGAAATGAGAAAAAACTATATAAGGGGGAAAAAATAAAAAACCAGAAAAAAATAAAAAATGAGAAGAAAAAATTAAAAATAAAAAAATAAAAAATGAGAAAAAACAATATAAAGGGTGAAAAATAAAAAATGAGAAGGAAAATTAAAAATGGGAATAAAATAAAAAATGAGAAAAAAATAAAAAATGAGAAAAAAATAAAAAATGAGAAAAAAATAAAAAATGGGAAAAAAATAAAAAATGAGAAAATAAATAAAAGGAGAAAAAAAATTAGAAAAGAAATAAAATTAGAAAAAAATTAAAAATGAGAAAATAAATAAAAAATGAGAAGAAAATAAAAAATGAGAAAATAAAAAAAAAATAAAAATTAATAAATAAATACAAATGAGAAATAAATAAAATATGGGGAAATGAAATAAAAAATTAGAAGAAAAAAAAAAATAAAATTGAAAAAAGAAAATAAATTGTAAAGAAAAGTTTAATAAATAACATAAAGAATTAATCAGAAATAAAAAATGCGAATAATAACATAAAGTGAGAAAAAAATAAAAATAATAAAATAAAAAAATAAAATAATATAAAAGAAATAAAATAAAAACTTCAAAATAAATAAAAAAATTAAATAAATAAAAAAATAAAAAATGAGAAAATAAATAAAAGGAGAAAAAAAAATTAGAAAAGAAATAAAATGAGAAAAAAATTAAAAATGAGAAAATAAATAAAAGGAGAAAAAGAATTAGAAAAGAAATAAAATGAGAAAAAAATTAAAAATGAGAAAATAAATAAAAAATGAGAAGAAAATAAAAAATGAGAAAATAAAAATTAATAAATAAATACAAATGAGAAATAAATAAAATATGGGGAAATGAAATAAAAAATGAGAATAAAATAAATAAAAATGAGAAAAAAAATAAAATTGAAAAAAGATAATAAATTGTAAAGAAAAGTTTAATAAATAACATAAGTAAAAAATTAATCAGAAATAAAAAATGCGAATAATAACATAAAGTGAGAAAAAAATAAAATAAAAATATTAATATTAACAAATAACATAAAATAAAATAATATAAAATAAAATAAAATAAAACAAAAGAAATGAAATAAAAACTTATAAATAAATAAAAAAAATTCAAATAAAAAGAGAGTTAAAAATATAAATATTAATTCTTATTCCACGCCGTAACAAAAGAAGAAAAGTTCGAATTATTTATTTATTTAGTCATCACCGTGATTTACCTACCTTTTCGGAAAAAAACGCTACCATTTTTCAGTTGTAATTTATGCACATTATTTTTGAAAAAAAAAACTATATATTCTATAGAAATCAATAATGATCTTTATTGTCTTATTTAAAGAAAAAATATATGCATATACATACAAATACATATATGACTTTAGACACAATTCAAGATGGGGCACAGCAAGCTATGTACATATTTTGGCAGTACATATTATAAAAAAATAAAGATTACGCATACATATTCATAAAATAAACGTGAGACGTATATAAAAAAAGATCAAATAAAAATACATTGTATTCTTAAATTTAGTAAATATATGACTTAAAACTAAGACATTTTGTTGACAACTTTTAAAAGTAAAATAACTATATAAATACATATGTACATGTATTTGTATATACTATTAATTATTATAGTTTCAAATTCGCGTTTACCATGCGGGTAGTAATATAAAAATTCAAATAAAAAATTAAAAGTAGAAATTATTTCAATTCTTTAATTTTTATGAAATGTACCCATGCGTTTGCACTCCTCAATGAGATACTTGAAATCACTGTTTTCCGCCAATGTGATGGGATTCCCCACGAGTATAAGCAATGATTGAGCTCGCGACAGTATGACATTCAAACGCTAAATAAATTAAGAAAATATTTCTAATTATAACTTCAATTTACAGAATAACCATTAAAAAATTACATATTGAGAGAGAGTGAAATAAAGTTAGAGATAGAGAGAGAGAGAGTGAAATAAAGTTAGAGATAGAGAGAGAGAGAGTGAAATAAAGTTAGAGATAGAGAGAGTGAAAGAAAGTTAGAGATAGAGAGAGTGAAAGAAAGTCAGAGAAAGAGAAAGAGTGAAAGAATGTCAGAGAAAGAGATAAGAAATAAAGGTTCAATAAATTTTCAATTTAGAGTACAAATAAAAAGTCTTACCTGTGGATCCGTTACAAAACCTAAATGGCAATTTGATTTAACAAAAGATGCGATGATGACATGTTTTTCACGCCCTTGAAACATTTCTGCCGTACCAACTTCTATGCCTTTCAACTTTTGTTCGCGCAACAATTCGTTTATTCGTGCACATTGTAATCTATAAGGTGATATCACACCGATTTTATTAAGTTCGACATGATCTTTCAATTCCCAGATAATACTGACAACTCTATTCACTTCTTCTAAATTACAAGAGCTACGCGATCTTTTTCCATGACTGAGTGAACCATGTACTTCTTCGAAAATTATGGGAAAATTTTTCTTATCGAGCAACTCTAAATCATCCCACACTATAAGAGTATCTGAAGAAAAAGAATAATGCATTAAATACTACTTGATAAATAATAGCACTGTAAAACACCAAAATAAATCACAAAATTGGTACACCTTGGCTTCTCGTTGCAAATTTTGTCTACGGTGCAAAACTAGTACTAATTTTGGTTGAAACTGAAAATTAAATACTCGCCAGATATACTGGCTTGGTTGCTGGCACATGTTAGAGTTTCTCTCGCACTGGAACTGTCAGCTCAAGTTTTCACAAAAAATTTCTTAAATACTCGAATTTAAGTTCATGTTTCGGTACGAAACAGAGAGTTTCTTCTAGGCGAGGTGAGTCTATTTATATATCTAAATATGTCAGCAAGCCATTGCATGCAACCGTTAAACGAGCAATGTCACATCGAGTACAATAATAATAAAAAATACACACGTACATACATATGTACATATGTATTTCTATATTCATATACATGAATTTAACAAAAATTCTTACCCTTTTCAACTTCAGCAATCAATTCATCATTGTAGTATAAATGATTAAACAATTGCAAAATGTTCGGATGTGAACGATAATTTCGACGTAAACGTGTTTGTGCACCATCATCGTATGTGCCATCTTTTTCAACCTTGTAATAGTCACAAGCTTGTAAACGTTCCATAAGTGAATGCTTAAGTCCACATTTACTAGCAACTTTTGACATCACCACGGGACCCAATTGTTTTGTATCGCCTGACAAGATAACTCGACATTTGTTTGTGTCAACACTTGTTATAGCAATTAGTGTTTCTATTTCAGTAGCAGCTCCCGCTTCATCTATAAAAATGTGCGTAAAGGGCCAATGTCCTTCTATTCCGGTGAGTAAATGACCCATGGAAGAAAGTGTAACAGCAATCATGCTATAATTTTGCAAAACGTGAACAGAGGGCCAGGAACAGTTCTCATCACAGATATTCGAATTGCAACGCAATATAGGATTCAAATTTTTAATGCCAAATCTTTTGATCCATGACTTCGAAAATACCCGTAATATATTTTGAGGTATTTTAGGTTTGGAATTTAGGTCGTAACCGTTACGCTTTTCGGATATTTCAATTAGTTTTTGATTATTTTCAAAGTATTCGCATATTTTTAGTGTAACAGTGTCGCAAGCCGAATTTGAACTTGTTGTAATCAAAATACGTGAGTTTGGTTCATGTATATAAATTTGTAGTATGGCTTCTACGATTGTTGTTGTTTTGCCAGTACCTAAATAAAGTTGTTAAAAATAAACATTTAGTTAGTTCATAATTATTGTCAATGTAGTGAAATTCTAATTTCAAATTGAAGTTAAAATTTTTAAGAAAAAAGTCATCTCTTAAGCAGTCTGAGTGCCGAGAGTATTTTTTAAATCGATTTCAGATTTTTTAAGTTCTTTTTTTTTTTTTTTTAAAACTTCGATATTTCGAACAACATTTAATTAACATTAACATTGAAGTGATTTCCGCAATTCGTGCCAAATAAAATCTAAATAAATTTAGCATTTTTATAATAGAAAACCTGATTGTGAGTATTGTTAGCCGTTTTCTTCGAATTAACACTCAATCACTGCTATCGTTGTGTACTCACCTGGCGGACCTACGATTATATATGGAGCATAGGGATTTGCACCATTAACAATTCGCCGCACAGCTTGTAACTGTTCGGGATTTTCGCATATGTGTTCATTGATGATTTCCAAACTAAAAGAAAATATTATAAATTATACTTGTACATATAGTATTGTATAGCTATGTTACTTAAAATTGTTGACGGCTTCCACTTTTGGTAAACTTTTAGTGGGAAAAATATATTTCGTTTGCGACGCATTAAGCAATTCCAATGCACGATATTGAATACGAAAATTGTATCGACTGGGACATATAATTATATCATATTTATGCTTTAAATCGATATGTGACGACAAATCCAAAACTGCGCCCTCTTCGGTTCTGTGTTTTGCAATATATGCATTTTTTTTGTCCACTTTTTCTAATGTTCTAACATGACCTAAGGGTCTCTGGATGTTGAATAGATCATTACGCTCTATTTTATTTCTTGCACTCGATGTTTTTATCAGCACAACTTCATCTATTTTGACATTAACTATTTCCTTGAAGTTACAATTTTCCACCTAAAAATTGATATATTTATGTATATGAAATATTTGAAAATTTGACTACAAAAAATATTATTTTCATTCGGTTAATTCAAGGCAAATTCACACACGGCAGTACCAAGTATACAAAAACAAAAAGAATGTGTAATTTTTTTGTGCAATCGCAGTTTCGCAAAAGTCAAAAACGAAATTCGTTCAACAGGGTTTTAAAGTACAGGGAAGAAAAATAGTGTGTACTAATGAATTTTTGAGATTACAGCTAGCATGAAAACCGGAGTAAACTATATGTGTGTTTTTAACCATTTTAATGCAAATGTCCTTACGAATAGGTGTATGAAATACATACCTTAAAACTTAGTAAATCATCACAATCTTCTAACAGTACATTTATTTGGTATAAATCATAATAAGGATGCACAGTATGAACATCTTCGATTTGTAGCAACATAGTTAATGCTTCTTTTACGTAATTAGGTTGGAGATGAAGACGTTCATTAAAGTTGCTAAAATATAGAAAATACTTAAAATCGTTTTATTCACATTTGTTATCGTACTTACACCAAAAATGGTTTATTTTTAACCAAAGAACTTGAGGCGAAATTTTGACTGTGGGCCAACTTTATTTCTTTCTCTGGATCATACTGATTAGGAATAATTAAAGGCTTGAATTCTCTAAAATAGCATAATATTAAGTATATGTATGTATAGTACATATGAATTAATGTGAAAATTTCAAAACTAAATTGAAATAAAATTAAATATTTGTACGAAAACATAAAAATAAACTAAAACTAATGTGTACATACATACAAGTTTTAAGAAATTTCATTCCCAAATAGTATTTCTCGAGCTTTTTGCGTTTTTATCCTAACACTCACCCTAAATTTGCTGGCAAACTAAGAAAATAATTAGATCCCCTTGTTGTTTTCTCAAGTGAACGCACGTCGTCACACAAATCGAGTCCATTGAATTTTTGTGTTAAATTATTTAGAAATTTTGCTAGATTACTGCCCTGAAAACATTTTAATAATTTTATAGGAATATATTTTATATATATATACACATAGGTAGGTATATTATTAATTATCGTGAAGTTCAATTTAAATAAATATTTTGCTTTAGAAATGTCAAAAGAAAAAAAATTTACGTAGTTGTAATTTTGAGCTCAAAAAGATTATACTTTTTATTACGGCATTCAAATATCGCCTGAATTTATAATGGTAAAAAGATGCAAAATATTTATTACTCATTATTTTCCAGTACCTACGAATAGTTTGATTACACAAAACGTATTAAAAAAAATATATAATTTTACCTTCTCTTCAGTTATATCACTTTCACTGTCTTTTTCTATGGACTTATTTTCATCCATATTTGCTTTCGAAGAAACTCAGAATTATTCAAAAAAAAAACTTTATATAATAATATATTATGCAATCTGCATTTAATCAGAGATATTCCTGATTCACTACAAGTAATTATCAATTGCTTGGCACTTGTAATCGAAATACGGAAATATCAATTTCACAGGAAGTGAATTTTACAAAGAATCCCAATTTCAAAAAGAACTCTTTTTTGAATTGCCCATCCACACTGAACAAAATAATTCACTAGACTGTGTGCTTGTACTGGGCAGTCCTTTCTTAAATACAAAAATGTGATGTCGCGCCTTTCGTTATGACGTCACACAAATCCATTGAATACTAGAACTTATGGCCGTGGCAGACAATCGTCAGCTGAATAAACCTAATATGCCCGGAATACTTAGTAAAGCGTAGAGGCGCATACCAAAGAAAATAACAGTACATTTTTTATATTACCCAAATTTGAGTTTAATGAACGTTTGAACATCTTATCGATATCAACTTTTCTAACCTTGCCATGTACCCGGTTACCCACTCAGTATGTTCTTTACGATTCATCACAAATTCATTTTGTGGCTCTAAAGTTGTTTGCATTATACAGATTAAGTTAATGTTTCTTTTTATATTCCGATTTAGAGTTTGTTCGTTTCAAAATTTTAAGTTTCTTAATTGGATTTTGAGAAAATAATAATTAAAAATTAAAATGGGCATCACTATGGGCTCTATGTTTATGCATTTTCTTATAGTTAGGGAATTCCCATTTTAGTTATGAATTTTTCATAATAAATTTCCTTAACAATTTTGGGATTCCCCTAAAATTTGGTAAGCTTTTAATGGGAAGCTACTAAATATGGGGGACGTGTTCTTGTTTATTGGAATTCAATACCATTGGGTGCAAGTTAAGAATTATGCATATTAGATTCCGCCAAATAGAATTTCATATTATGCATAAACATGCATACCTATGTAGTACGTCATAATTTCAAAAAAAAAAAAAAAACGTGCAAAATGTCAAACACCATACCAATTTTTGCGGTATTTTGTTACTATAATTAAAATGAAACGGTCCTATCGATTTTATTGTATGACAATGATGGGAATCAATATATCAAGATTGTAGTTTTTATTAAGAAATATTATTTTGAGGTTAGGTGCCGTTTACGTGAAGTGGTTAAAAAAAAAACGAAAAAAAAGTTCATAGTTTTCGCATTACGAAATGCCATTGCTCGCTCGTTTCATTTTTTCAGCAATTTCTTTTTTTTTTACATAATTTTAATTGTAATTGTCATAGTTTTCAAAAGAATTTCATTCGTAGTCATTATCCTACATGAATAAACTAAAGTAAATATAAAAACTAGTTTTTCAATATTTTCAAGCAAGACGAAATGGGAATTCGCCTTGATTTTTAAGCTTCTTTGTATTTGTAAGCGCTTTTTTCCAATAAGACCTTAGACCAGGTTACTATTGACAGCAAATACAATTTTTTTCTTTCATCAATTCGCATTATTACAGGCTGATCAAAGCGAGTTCAGTTAAGGTAAGGCGAATTTTACCATTGCGGCCAAATGTAGTGAATTGTCCTTAAGGCTTATGCTGCAACTATCGACCTTACATAACATCGGTGCATAACAGCCGACTGGCAGAGCGATATGCATACACGAATTATTGACGCTACTGACAGCGGCGAACCAAAATTTATAATTTTCGTCAACGAATTTCATAATTTATATGTTTGAATATAAACGTCAATCAAATAAATATTTATGATATATGTATATGGTAATAAATAATTAATTACGAATTTATTTTACATTTCTTTAAAAAAAAAAAACACTAATTTTCTTGGTTTATTTAATATAAGTTCAAAAAAATCTACACTGGCAACTTTGTATAGCAACGAGAAATGAACCGAGCCGGTTTTACAGAAAAAATCAATTCCCCGTTGGTTTCTGCGGAACAACCGTCAGTAACGGCATGGGCAAGCGGTGACAACTTTGTATTTACATGGCGCTCTCATAATATAGGTTGCTATAGATGGAAGGTACGTGAGTTGGGTAGTTGCAGCATTATGAATTAATCATGATTTTAACAATATCTGCACTGAAAACGAAATACACAGTCGATGTTGTATTTGTTATCCAGCTAACAGCTATATGAATTCGCCTGGTCTAAGAGCTAAAAACAGAGTTGACAATTTACGAAATATGTCTTATACGCCAAGAAATTGTAAATTTCCCTAAAATCGTTTAAAAAAAGGGGGACATTCTACTTTATTCGCAAAAAAAAAATTATTAATATTTTGAAAAATGTATTTATTTTTTTTTATAAAAAACATTTTTATTTTACATTTTATATACAGTAATCATGACATTTTAGTTTTTTACACTTTTCATTGGTATTAAATAATAAAAACTGATAAACTCTTGTTTTATAGTAAAATATATTAAAAATAAAAATAATAATAATTGGTACACATTCAGTTTATAAAAGTACAAAGTAAACACAATTGTCGAATAAAAATCAATTCATTTTGTTGACAACTTTTGCAAGTTGAATAACGGTACATACATATGTATGTATACAGTAGGCATGAACCAATGATTATTAATACTCACACCATCCGTTAGTAAAACAATTCGATTAAAATATGTTTATGCTTATGTAAAAAAAAAGAAAGAAAAAAATATACGTACAAAAGTTGGCAAAATATACCTTTCAAAGGCTATTTTTCAATTAGTTAATTTTTATTTATTTTTATGAAATGTACCCATGCGCTTGCACTCCTCAATGAGATACATGAAATCATTGTTTTTCGCCAATGTTTTGGGATTTCCAACGAGTATAAGCAACGATTGAGCTCGCGACAGCATGACATTCAAACGCTAAATTAATTAAAAATAAGAAAGTTTTAAATTTTTAATTAATAGAAATTAAAAGCTAAAACAAGTTAAAATATGTTTAGATAGTAATAGTCCTAATCGCTTTACATACAACAATAAATAAAACAATTTGTCATATAAAAATTTGCTGTGGTGGTGAACATTTTGTGATTAATCTACAAAGGAACATCATCATTACAAATAAAGTAGAAAGCAACCAGCAAAATAAACAAGTAGACCCGAAATGATAAATTCGAATGCATGGTCAGACAGGGAAGTGGTGTTATTGTGAACGATACACTGGCAAGTACTTGGGGAAAATGTAAGATATATTCGAATGTCAAATTGATGGGAAATTTCACCTGATTTTTTGTTAATTACTTATACAAATTTCAAGTGCAACGAGAATAATAATGAAAAAAAAAAATTGCCTTTACCTACCCATAATTAATTTTACATTTCATTTCGTTTTCTTTTCAGATGCTTTCGACAGTTGTCATGAGTGTTGTAAAGTAATTGTCCATTAATTAAAATTAACTTCTTAAAAGTTTCGGCAAATAATCTTGCCCAAAAACATAAATCTACGAAATTTACTCACCAAAATCGGGTATATTCAAACGACATATTCAAAATCACATATCAATAAATTTCCAAGCATTTGAAAAAATAGAGCAGATAGAAATAGATAGAGAGAGAAAGCAATAAAAAAAAATAAAGGTCTAATAAATTTTCAATTTAAAGTATTATAAATAAATCTCTTACCTGTGGATCCGTTACAAAGCCCAAATGGCAAAATGATTTAACAAACGATGTGATGATGACATGTTTTTCTCGACCTTGAAAAATTTCCGCCGTACCAACTTCAATACCTTGCAAGTTTCGTCTGCGCAACATATCTTTTAATCGGTCACATTGTAATCTATAAGGTGATATCACCCCAATTTTATTAAGATCGACATGATCTTTCAATTTCGTGATAATGCTGATAACTTTATAAGCTTCTTGTTTATTATACGAGCTGCATGATGTTATATCCTGACTGAGAGTACCATATACAGATTCGAAAATTATGGGAAATTTTTTATTTTTGAGAAACGCTAGATTATTGAAATTTATGAGACTACCTAAAGAAAAAAGCCAAACAATTTTAATTGTTTTTTTTTTTTAATTGAAAAAGTTGATAATATAAAAACAAAGTAAATTGAAAAAAAAGATAACAAATAAAGTGTGATTTTTCTCAGTGCGAAGTTTTAAAAGCATTATAATTTTCAAAAGTATTCAATGAAATCTGGTATCCATCAAATTGTCATTAGATTTAGACAGAAAGTTGTGTAATACATTTTGAGTAATCAATGCTTTATGTCCGCACATGCCTCGGGTCTATTATTATAATTATATAATATCGTATATGTAAATGATTGCATCTTAAACTCTTACCCATTTCAACTTCAGCAATCAATTCATCATTGTAGTATAAATGATTAAACAATTGCAAAATGTTCGGATGTGAACGATAATTTCGACGTAAACGTGTTTGTGCACCATCATCGTATGTGCCATCTTTTTCAACCTTGTAATAGTCACAAGCTTGTAAACGTTCCATAAGTGAATGCTTAAGTCCACATTTACTAGCAACTTTTGACATCACCACGGGACCCAATTGTTTTGTATCGCCTGACAAGATAACTCGACATTTGTTTGTGTCAACACTTGTTATAGCAATTAGTGTTTCTATTTCAGTAGCAGCTCCCGCTTCATCTATAAAAATGTGCGTAAAGGGCCAATGTCCTTCTATTCCGGTGAGTAAATGACCCATGGAAGAAAGTGTAACAGCAATCATGCTATAATTTTGCAAAACGTGAACAGAGGGCCAGGAACAGTTCTCATCACAGATATTCGAATTGCAACGCAATATAGGATTCAAATTTTTAATGCCAAATCTTTTGATCCATGACTTCGAAAATACCCGTAATATATTTTGAGGTATTTTAGGTTTGGAATTTAGGTCGTAACCGTTACGCTTTTCGGATATTTCAATTAGTTTTTGATTATTTTCAAAGTATTCGCATATTTTTAGTGTAACAGTGTCGCAAGCCGAATTTGAACTTGTTGTAATCAAAATACGTGAGTTTGGTTCATGTATATAAATTTGTAGTATGGCTTCTACGATTGTTGTTGTTTTGCCAGTACCTAAATAAAGTTGTTAAAAATAAACATTTAGTTAGTTCATAATTATTGTCAATGTAGTGAAATTCTAATTTCAAATTGAAGTTAAAATTTTTAAGAAAAAAGTCATCTCTTAAGCAGTCTGAGTGCCGAGAGTATTTTTTAAATCGATTTCAGATTTTTTAAGTTCTTTTTTTTTTTTTTTTAAAACTTCGATATTTCGAACAACATTTAATTAACATTAACATTGAAGTGATTTCCGCAATTCGTGCCAAATAAAATCTAAATAAATTTAGCATTTTTATAATAGAAAAACTGATTGTGAGTATTGTTAACCGTTTTCTTCGAATTAACACTCAATCACTGCTATCGTTTTGTACTCACCTGGCGGACCAACGATTATATATGGAGCGTAGGGATTTGCACCATTAACAATTCGCCGCACAGCTTGTAACTGTTCGGGATTTTCGCATATGTGTTCATTGATGATTTCCAAACTAAAATAAAATATTATAAATTATACTTGTACATATAGTATTGTATAGCTATATTACTTAAAATTGTTGACGGCTTCCACTTTTGGCAAACTTTTAGTGGGAAAAATGTATTTCGTACCAACCTTATCAAGCAATTCCAATGCACGATATTGAACACGAAAATTGTATCGATTGGGACGTATAATTACATTATATTTCTTTTTTAAATCAAAAGGTGGTGGTGGTTTTGGTGATTTCTTTTTCTTTTCATTATTTTTTTCTTTTATGTTTTCGTATTTATTAACATACGCTGTATCTTTTTCAAATTTTTCTAACGTTCTAACATGACGTCTAATATCGGCGTCACTTTCATATTCATGTTTATGGACCTGCAATAGATCTACAGGGTAACGAATTTGGTTTTTCGCCTCCCTTGTGCTCAATAGAGGTACAAAGACAACCTCATCCATTTTCACACTAACTATATCCATGAAATTGCAATTTTTCTGCTTTTGCATCTAAAAATTAATTGATAGATTAATGTATAAACATACGTATGTATGTATGTATGTGTGTAAAAATGTGACATGGAAAAATTTACATTCCATTTTTTTCGTTTAATTGCTTATTGTCAACAATAAACAACCCTAATATTTAAAACTGGAAATAGCTTATTATATATTATAGTTAAAATGTGATAAATATTTAAAATACTCCATCGGTGTAATGAGTGCCGAGTTTTTAAAACAAACAAGTTGTGCAATTAGGCAAAACTTACAACAGCTGCAATCTTTTGCATCCAACATTTAAAAAAAAAACTTTGAAAGCAACAACAAAAACAATGGGATTGAACAAGCACACAAACAATTGCCGACTTCATTATGTTTGATAATAAAAAAATTTATATTTTTGTGAATGGCACACTGGAAACCAATTGGGAAAATTTCCAAATAAATGTCATAATGTAGCGGCAATATATATTTATGCCAAATAATTTCTTATGCAAAAATTAAAATATAATTAATTATATGTATGTATGTAAATTTTTCCCGGCTGGCATACACTGATGCCAATAATAAACATAGCAACAATGTGGTAAGAAAAATAAATCATATTCTTTCTGTGTAAGCAAAAGATTTCAGCTAATATAGAAATTTTACAAAATGTTTTTTTTCCCGCCTTTTTTTAATTTGTTTTGTTTTTTTCTCTTTTTGTTTCTTTTTTTTAAATCTGTTTTTATTTAATTTTTTTTTTAATACTCTTTTTTTTTATAATTTTTTTTTATTCCTTTTTTAAAATTTTTTCATTAATTTTTTAAATTTTTTTATTAATTTCATAATTTTTTTATTCCTTTTTTACAATTTTTTTTATTCTTTTTTTTCAATTTTTTTTATTCTTTTTTTACAATTTTTTTTACAATTTTTTTTACAATTTTTTTTATTCCTTTTTTAATTTTTTTTCTATTTTTCCCTTTAATTTTTTTTTTTTTAATTTTTTTTTTTGGTATGTTGCAATTTTTTATATAAATAAGTACATATGGATGAACATATATATGTATGTTTATAAATACCTCGAAGCTTAGTAAGTAACCAGAATCGTTTATCGTCAAATTTGTTTGATATAATTTACAATAAAGCTGCATAGTATGTATATCTTCGATTTGTAGCATCATTCTTAGTTTTTCTTTTACGTAATCAGGTTGAAGTTGACAACAATCTAAGAAGTCTCTAAAAGAGAGAATATATGGAAATATTTTAAATTGATTTTATTTGCACTTTTTATAAACTTACTTCAAAAATGGTTTGTTTTTAGTCAAAAAACGTGGAGCGAAATTTTTACTATGAGCCAATTTTATTTCTTCCGTTAGATAATATTGAGAAAGAAAAATTACAGGCTTGAATTTTCTAAAAAAAAAAAAAAATACAGGGATACAAAAATGATTTTTCCAAACAAAAAATTTCACTTATGTTGTATACACACACATGGCATCTACATATGTATGTATGTCAATTCCAAACACTTACCCGAAATTTGGTTGTAAACCAAAAATACGATTCTTTTTAACAGATGCATCACATATTTTGAGTGCCTCGAATTTTTGCGAAAGATCATTTGTAGATATCGTTGGATCACTTCCGTGTTGCCGTTGCCTTGTACGAGAATATTTCTGCAAGACGAGGAAATTATTTTCTACATGCGTATGCATGCTATTGTAAATGTCATAAATATTTAGTTGTACAGATGTAAAATTTACAAAAAAAAAAAAGAAGACTGTTACATACGATTCAATTTCAGTGGGGTTCCCCTTTTTATCGCAGCGTTAAAGATTTTGTTTATTTTTTAAATTTTGCTTTCGCTGCACAAATATCAAATTCCACCCTAGTTAGTGCTGGTAAAATGTCTGTACAAATAAACATTCAAATTCACTTTTTTCTTCATTTCAGTGCCAAGTTTTTAATTACACATATAATTAACTTTATATAAAATATATATACCAAATTATATATGTATGTATATATACGCGTGTACTGGATATTCGTATAAAAAATTGTATTTAGAAACAGTTTTACCTTCTTTTTGGATTTAGCTTTTTCACTAGCATTTTCTAACGATTTGTTTTCATCCATATTTACTTTCGCTAAAACTCAGTATTATATAAAGAATTACTTAGAATGTGTTATTCGATTAACAGTGAATTATTAACTGTTTCAATAAGACTCTGAAAAGATCAATCTAGGAGGAATTGGTTATTTCAAAGAACTTCAACTACTGAAGTTTAAATTTCCCAACAACACCGGCAAAGATTGTCAACTAGACTATTGTACAGACTTAAGGTTAAAGTAAAGGTGCCATACCATAAAACCACAACCGTAATTTCATTTAATGCAATTGATTATTATTTAGAAGAACAAATAGCGGGTGTAACGATTACTTGCAATCGAAAATACGAAATAGAACTCTTCAGTGGTTTTGCTATATACTTTTGCGGTGTTTTATGGCATAACATCATTGATCGGAAAGAGCATTACCCATTAAGTTGATTAGATCAGGTGTTATGATATGGTATGGTATGATGCTAGCATCACTAGTTTGAGTATTAAGGTTGTAAAATGTGCATTAGAGTGTGTAATGAAGAATGTAAAAAATGTGCAATAAAGTTACTCACAGTTTACAATCGGCAGTTTTTATGCCGACGTAATACAACTACAAAAGAAAAAAAGGGAAAGTTATTATTAGTTATTTTTAAAAGAAAAATTAAAATCAGCTAATTATAATTAAACGAGGCAAACAGAGGAAAATGCCAAATCTTTAACCACTTGGGTCACTAGTTGATTTTAATTTCCATTTATATTACCTTTTCGGCGATCAGCCAGACCTTCCAACTGATTAGTAATGACGATCCCTATCTTGTTTGTTACTATAAACAATTAAGTGGATTATCGAAATTTATATATTTTCTGGAGTAGATTTGTCAAAATATATAATCTCGATGGTTTTCAAAATATTTCGAGTTTGATCACTGAACTGTTAATATACAGTTTAATATATCTCTTTAAACACACAGTTTATTCTTCTGCAAATAGTAGGATGTTATCATTGCCAAGTACTATACTCAGCTGACCTTGACAGCAATGTGCGCTATGCTCTTATATAAGCAGCACGATTTCTCGTAATCATAAGTAGTAAGTTCTAGTTTGAAAATTCTTGATAACGATCATTAGATACACGCGCTCTAGAACTTGCTTTAGTTATACCTCTCTTTTTCTCAATGCGTTTTCTATTTAGTATTGTTGCGAAAATGCGCGAAGGCTAATGTCAGATGAAAGAGAGAAGCCGATAACTAGTACATTCTAAACGAGAACCTTCGGTAGCGAACAACTCGATGATTCTACGCTTTCGTCTGCGAGCAGCCGACTGCTATATAAGGACGACACTCAGCTGACAAGTCAAGTTAGTTATGAAGTGAACTCGTTGGCGTTAACATCAGTAAAGTCGTAAAGTAAACGCGTTGGGATTACATTTAAGTAGAGTAAATTGTGAAAGTTTATGCAAGTGATTATAACTAGTGAAGTGCATTGTAATGGAATTGTGAATTACTGAGTAAATAAAGGACATTAGATAAACTCTTTATAACGAATGAAACGGCAAATTAAGTTGGCGAGTTTTTATTTAAAAATCCAGAGATCGTACCCGAAGGATTCAGAAAATCATCGATGTTGATTTAGCGAAATCGTAACAGTATTTTCACCACACTGTGAATAATCGATTAATAACCATTTGTTATCTTTAGAAATCATCCAGCTGGTAATCAAGAGTGATATTTCGTGTTGGTGTTTTTGTTTTATATATTAAATAGCTGTTTTATCTTAGAAAAGATATATACACAAAATATTTGCAGGTACACTTCTATTGTTATTTAATACATATATATTATATATATATATATATATTTTGTTTTATAAACTTTTCTCTGAAAAATCCTTGCAGATGCAATCTAATTGATATAATGGAAGAAGAGATAAGAGACAGTCGATCTTGTTACAGGATGACACGTCACTCATGGTTCACTCAGCGTGCATTTACCATCAACAAACAACATAACATTTGGGATCGTGAGTCGGGCTTAAACCGTTATAATAAACAGGGTTGTTTACCAGTGCTTACGCACGAACAGGAATTTTACAGAAGCATAGTTCCGGGATTGTCTGTATCAAATGCTGGTTATGGCCTCGGATTTATACGTAAATTTACACCTGATGGTAAAATGTTAATAAGTTTCTCGTTACAAAAGGATGCTCTTTGGGTATTCAAATATAAAGGAGTTGGATCTGTTCAGAATTCTCTACGTTCTTGCTATGAAGAAGTTGTGGACTGTGATTTGGATATTGATCCAGACCTAGCTCAAGATCTATTTAATTTTCATTTGGCAATACCAATTATCACCGAACAATATTCACGCTGGACATTAAATCGTGAATTTAGTATATTCCTTGAAAATGGGCGTTATGTTTTGTTGGCGGCCAGGTGTTATATAAATTATATAAGTGTGCCCCGAGAATATTATTTAAAATATCCCGACATACACGATGATACGGAAATTTTCGACTATACCTTTTTTCTGGTGGATTTAAAAGAAGGCATTGTCAGCGATACATATAAAATACGTGATTATGTTTCGCTAAATAACAATTATGGAGTCTCAGCTGTCGGGAATCTTATTGCCATTACGTCATATTGCCGTCAATGCATTGATATTCTGGAAGTGCATAATGGAAAGCTTGTTAGCCTATGCCAGTTAAATAAAGAACAAGAGACAATGCGGAGAGAACAACTTAACCATGAATTGCACACCAACGGTGTACCTGAGCCGCCAATGAAAGGAATATTATCACCGTTAAAACAGCAATGCATATCACATCTATACAAAGAAGCAAACGCATGTAACTGTTGCGAAAGGAAAGAAAGGTTGTTGAAATTTTACAAAGACTTTCCTTTGGTAAGTATGACATTTAATATACTTTTACATAAAAAAATATAAAACTATCTATTAATTAGTAATATTACTCACACTCTTCTTTCACAGTATGAAGAAGTAAAACTAGCAAAATCTCAGTTCATCAATAAAGAAACCCTTCTTATGCGCTTCGAAATGCCGAGAAACACTTCAACAGATACAGGCAGTGAACAGCCATCTAGAGATACAATGTATTTCAAATTATATGTGTTTTACTCATTATCTGAACTCAAGGTATTGCGAATTTTTCAACATGACTCAAAGGAGTTACTTCATTTGCAAAGAGATTTTTATGAAAGTTTAAGAAATGTGCGTTCATGGCACACGGGAAGACCGGCGTCGTCACCAAGCAATAGTATTTATTATCGTTTCAAGCATGATACGTGAGTATACCATATGTATGTGCGTTTTTAATACTATCATTGATAAATCATAATCAATTCGTAAAAAACATCCTAAAATTTATTAAATAGGTTTGAGTTGCCCAATAAACATCACGACATTACTGTGTACAGACAGTAATCTATAGCAATTATATTATTAGATTTAATAAAATGCTTTTAATTTTCATCCATATAGCTGTATTAAACACTGTGCCAACGATCCGGCAACGGAATACAATATAAAATTGCCTTTGTGTGTGGATTGTACAAGCTGTTCGCCATATTTAAATTTCGACGTTTTTCTGTATGATGATCGGCTTATATCACCGACGGAAACACCTAAGTATATGAGTAATCGTCCTATTACTTTTATGGATCGATTAACTTCTGCCGTAAATTATCGTATACATCTGGACACGAGTCAATTAAGTAATTCTAAACGTAATCATCTCGTATCATTCGTATTTCATCCATATGAGCCATTCTTTATAAGTGTACAACAAGTTTTCGGCTCAATTGATCGTTCTATTCTTGTTAATTTTCACATGTATTGCACGACCACTAAAGTTAGTCAAAAAAAAGATTTTAAATCTGCAACTAATGATAAACGACAAAGACTTCTCTAATAACAGTATTTGTAGTTTAATCATATTTGTTGTATGTTGATATTAGTGATTTATAACAATTTAATGTGGGTGAGATATGAATTCGGAAATTAAGGCATTATCAATGTTTCATTGTTACTCATACAGAAATTTAAAATATTTGCTTTAGTAACATTCGCATCATTAAATGATGTGATTCGTGCCTTAATATAATGTTAGCAAGAAAAGGTATAACCACAAAATGTAACTGATAAATTATGTAGGAAACTTAAGATATTTCATTATAGTTGTAGATAGTAAGTTGTTAAATTATATAAATATTTATACATATTTTTCAATTTTAAAGAAATTGTTAATTGTAATTAAAAATCTTTAAAAATACATGCATTTATTATTTATAATACAATTGAAAACAAAGAATTTTTACTGCGTACTTGGAGCATTGACTTGCTCTATGCTTTATTCGTATATTTAGTCGCAATAATTTAACAGATTTCAGCGGTATAAAAAAAAATTGATGAAATATGTATGCAAACGGATGCTTCGATCGTTGAATTCGTATGAATTTCGCTCATTTAGCACTTTTACCCTGGAATGCCCCTTTTGTAATTTGAATTAATTTGGCAGCATTGTTTTAACAGCTGGTTGCAATAACCAAAATGCTTGCCAAATCAGTTCATTTTCCCCATGATTGGCACATCTTATTGAAGGTTCTTATATTTATGAAATGATAAATGTGATAAGGATTGTCCATAAACCATATAGGCATATTGTAGGCCTTCCAAGGTCCCTCCCTTCCTTCTTGTTGTCAAACTTGGCATTTCCTGTGTACCTACCCTCCATTGGAACGAGGTTTCTTTCACTATGATCTTGATTTCTACATTTAAGGACAGTTAATAAACCATTTATTTATAACATTATTTTAGCTTTGATTAAATATTTGTTTAATCCGAAGAGGATTACGTAGTTTTAAGTGCAATCGAACATTTGATCTGGCAACCCTAAGTAGCTGCAACACTAATTGAACAATTCTTATTTTGTTTATGTGCTAAAAGTTCATTGTTTATATACTTCAGACCGCCTTGTAATTTTTGATCCATATTAAAGTCTATTCGTTTAAATGGAGGAGAACGCATTTTTAATTGAAGAGCTTTCCAGCAACGATGTTAGTGAGTCAGAACTGTCGGAGTTCAAAGAAACGCAGCCGATAAAAGTTTTGGATATAATAACTCCTGGTGAAGACTCCAACTCCAAATTGACAAATGTTGTGCGACCTAATGATAATGAACATACAGCTTTGCCAAAAACTTCTCGCGGATCAGCCGAAGGTGAAGCAGCGCTAATAAAGCTTTTCGTACGTGGAGAAGGAGAATTTCCAGATTGCTATACAAAACTTGAACCGGGTGAAGAGGAAGAAGACGATTATGATGTTGATAAAGTGGAATTAAAGGCGCAAGAGCAAGCATCGACTAAAATGTGTGAAAATCTTAAAATTACAGAACGCAAAGCCATTGATACCAGCTTGAGTGAGCCTTCTTGGCGTAATAGAACTGGTAGTATTGGCAGTTCCAGCACTAGTGCAACTAGTGGACCTCGAAGGCGTACAATACTCAATGCCGCACTGCAAGGTCTGATGGGTGAGGCAAATCTCAGTTATGCACGTGGACAAATTGATATTTCAGAAAAGATTTGCTTGGAAATCATACGGCAGAATCCGTTAGCACCTGAACCGTTTTTCACATTGGCTGAAATATATGAAACACGTAACACTGAAAAACATTTATATTTCCTAACTATTGCGGCACACTTGAATCCACATGACCGCGATCAATGGATACGCATTTCCGAATTGCACATAGCACAGGGCAATTTACAACGTGCGCGTGTATTTTATACCAAAGCCATAAAGGTGAATTGACGTTCTTAACTATTGCATACATAATTTAATTTATACATTGTTGTGAAACCTTTTCTTCCAGGCTATGCCCAGGGATTATGATTTGCGTTTGCGTAAAGCCCGTTTATTGGAAATGATGGGCGAAACTCATCTAGCTATGTTAACTTACCTAAAAATGATACCACACATGCCACGTACTGAAAAAGATTTATGTCTAATAACAGCAAAAAATGTTGCTCACCATTTCCATGGTATCTCAAAGCATGCCATAGCACTCGAAGCAATGGAGAGTGCCTATCAAGTATGTGGCGAATATTTTTCATTAGAAGACCTTAATCTCTATATGGATCTGTTAATTTATAACAAAGCTTACGCACAAGTATTACGTTGTTTGCGCGCACGAACCTCACTCGAATTAGAAACGGAGCAGGAGAGTAATTTAGAACTTATATTCTTTTGCGTAATACCCGATAACTTTGTGCCCGATTTTCGTGCTAAACTATGCGTGAGCTTGATACATCTCCACGCACACCATCTGCTGGGTTATCTCATACAAAATGTACATGAACATATACCATTGACTGATGATCGGCTGGATTTGTACATTGATATTGCTGAAGCGCTAATGCAAGAACATAAATATGCCGAATCTATAGAGTTGTTACGGCCAATAACAGATGGCGATACAATTGAGTGTCCTGCCTTTGTATGGTTACGCCAGGCTGAATGTTTGCGTAATTTAAATCGTACAAATGAGGCTATTGAGAGTTATACACGTGTTGTGGAACTAGCACCTTTTTGCTATGAGGCCAAATTTACATTGTCGGCTTTGCTAAAGCAACAGGGCCGTCATATGGAGGCGGTAAAGGCTCTCGAACAATCCGGTGAAGGCGATGGTCAGCCACTAAATGCTCGTTTGCTTTATGAGCGTTGCATAATGTTGCAGCAAATTGGTGAAATTGATGAATTTCTCGAAGTAGGCTATGTGCTGCTCGCACGACATTCAATTAAGCTGCGGAATCGTGAGGAAATGCTAGCAGCGGCGAATGGTGGTAGTTTCTATAACGCAGAAGGTCTCAAAGTGATATTGCAAATGCGCAATATCACAGAGGATACGGATAAGGCATTACAGGTGAGAAGAATATTACATATGCATATATACATGAATGTTATAGAGTAATGGTGTCATTTTAATGTAGGAATACAATAAAATACCACAAGAGAATTCAGATCTCACCATACAAGATGAATATCGTCTATTTTTGGAGTTGTTACGCGTTGCTTTTGAGCATAAAAAATTTAGTTGTATTGAACGTCTTTGCTTTGGCATGGTCACCACAAAACGATTCACTGCCTATCATATTGAATTGGAGCATATTATAATACTCGCATGCTACTTTAATGACAACTGCACCATTGCGTTTTCATATCTACGTGAATTGATTTCGAAGAATCCACTTAATACCATACTTTGGAATTTACTATCTCTCCTTGTACAAAAGGGTCAGGATTTGCGTTATCATCGTTATGTACGTCGTTTAGTGCAACGACTACCTTCTGAACGTAAATTTCGTATATTTCTTGCGCATTATCATCTATTTTGCTGTTCATACAAATATGCTTTAAATATTTATGTGCCACTCTTTAAAGAAGAACAAACGCCCATATTGGCACTCTGTATAGCTGCAATTTTTAACCAGATGTCATTGCAACGTAAAGTATTACGTAAAACCGGCGCAGTGGCACAATCTATTGCTTTCGCCCAAAAGTATGCTACATTGCGTGCTGGTGTAGAGTGGCATGCCGGTATTGTTGCTACTGGCTCGTTTAAAACATCAGCGTCACGGGAAAAATCATTACCGTCAACAGCAGATGAGGAAAGTAGTAGTCAATGTAGTGCAGCTGAGCAGGAAATTTGCTACAATTTCGGGCGCATATATCAACAGGCTGGCCTGGTACACCTTGCGGTAGAGTATTACGAGCGTGGTTTGGCGGCACGACATCCCTTAATTGAAGAGAATGAAGAGTATTTGGGTTTGCGGCAAGAAATCGCATACAATTTACATTTAATTTATAAGTCAGCGGGAAATTTGCGGAAAGCGAGGCAATATCTCTACGAGTATTGTGTTGTCTGAAATGTAAAATGGATGACGAGTCTTTCACTTAGGTTTTAAAACTGAACATATGTACATACATATTATATATAACAATCACCACCTGTATACAAAATCTGTCACAGGTTAGTAAAAAAAAATATTGAATAATTTTATATTTATCTTTAATTAAAGTACTAATTAATTATTAGCTATTATTTAAGCTTTCCAAATTAAAAATAAATCGTGAAGAAAATATATTATTTCTTAAGTTCGTTTTAACATTAGCAGTTACATAAATTTATATATTTATATATACATTTGGCCATTCGAAATGTTTAAAATAGTTATTAAGAAGTCCGATATACAATAAACACCGTAATATTTATTTAAATTTTACATTAAATATGTAAATTTTCCACAGTGTCGAATAGTGTTAATAATTCCTGTTCCTTTTTCTTTATGCGTCCTTTAATATCCGTTATTGATTCAGTTTTCGGTACTGCTTTATTAAGTATTTCATCCATGGAGTTTATAAGCCTTGTGCGGGTATAGAAAGATAATATTTTCGGTAAAATTTAAATCAAGTCAACATTTTTCAATATTATTATTTATGCACAACTATTAAACAAATATACACAGCTTACGAGCACAAATTCAGAAGTGGAATATTAAATGCGTTGAACTTCATTTCACGTATGAAAAAAAGGCTTAAGCGATACATAAAATATCCCTAATGACCTAATAGTATTGAAATGTTTTTTAAACTATTTCGACAAGAACTATTCTGCAATTTCATAACTAGATAGTTTCGTCTATTATTCCTTGCTTTATATTATAAATGGAAAACTAGACTATAAATGGAAATTTCTAGTTAAAATGCGAAATACGTGGTACGAGGTTTCATTGTAAACAAGATCCCACTTTTTAAATAAATGCTTTCATTTCGCTTAAGATTTTTCTGTTCCATAAAAAAGTAGAAAATAAAAGTCATTCATAACTTATAATACATATTTTTCCATATACATGCATACCTTCTTGCATTATAAGCGAGACTATTTTGCATTACAAAAAAAAAAAAAAATTATTCACTACCATCACTTACTTTTTATCCACCTCAATTGAGAGCTTAGATTTGCGTAAACGTCTGGTAACTACCGACTTCTCCAGAAACTCTTTCAAATCGTTCAAGTGCTCTTCTTGTTTCTCTGAATGTCCCTCGAATTTGCGCTGTGTATTCAATAGCAACTTTTTGTTCACTTCATTTCGTTGACGCTCGATCTCTGCTACTACATTCGCTGTTGGTGGCAATAGTTTGATATCGCCAATAATCAAGTCATGATTTAAAATTTCTGGCTCATTGGTTTGTATACCAATCTCGGTGCAGTACACCGCTTCTATATGCTCAGCTATTTTCTTAACACTTACTTCGGCACTTTTTGCAGCTAACTCCCTACGTTGTCGTGCCGTAGCGCGCGCCGCTGTATTGCTCGGTATACCGCGCATCACCTTTCGCCCATCACCATGTACGGTGGCTGAGCCACTAACAGGCGGCGATGCATGCGTGACACTTGTTTTATATAAATTAGCTTGGGTATTATTGTTTGAACTGCTAGTCTGCGTTTGATTGCGCGCACCTGCTACAGTCGACGATAGGTGAGGGGTAGGTTTGCGTTCGGTGTATTTCGAACGCATTTGTAGTGACAATTTACGTCCACTAAGTGTGGTGCCAATACGTGCTTCATCACTAGTGGAACTAACACGACGTGCTGCTCTTTGAGTTACTTGCGTTGTTGTTGCTGTTGCTGTTGCTGTAGGCAGCAGCGGTAGTTGGCGATGTGTCATCGATGTACGCACAATAATATTATTATTTTTAGTTTTGCTGCCGGACGCAAACATTTTTGGAATTTGGAATTTTTATGCTATAAAAACAATTACAACACAACACACACCCAAACGCTCAAGGCGATAATTATACAATTTTATTAAAAAAAAAAAAATTGTAATTCTAAATAAAAAAAAATTAGAATGACTTATTTTGAACTGAAGTACTGATAATTTGAATTCTGGTTTCAATCAAAATGGAGAGAAAAAAAAAAAAACAAAAAAAAAAAAAAAAAAAAAAAAAAAAAAAAAAAAAAAAAAAAAAAAAAAAAAAAAAAAAAAAAAAAAAAAAAACAAAAAAAAAACAAAAAAAAATCAAAAAAAGGAACAAAAAAAATATCCAAAGCGTTTCTATGCAATAATCTTGAAAATAAATGGATAAAATTAAGTGCACAGCCCGAAATATTAAAAATCCAATATTAATTGTTAGTGCTTCTGTGACCCCTAAACAGCGATTTATACATTATATTTCCTTCAAACACATGCCTTAATAATAAAAAATAGCAAATGAACATGTTCTCTATATGGTGTTTATAGAATGTGTGTATATTTATTAATTTAATCTGCCTATACTAAAGTATATATTGGTTCGCTCTGCGCACAGTGCAATACCATTTGTAGTTTAAACTTATTGTTGTTTTTTTAATTAGCGTTAGTAAATTTTAGTACTTTATAATAAATAAATTTAATGGTAATTGTGACAAATATTTTATATGTATAAAGTTTATATAAATTTGTTTATTGTAAAGCACATTAAATTGGACATTGAGATTTAGGCGGGTGAATAGAAATACATACATATATTACAACATTATGTTTTCATTTTATCTTTCATTTATTGCGAATAAATCCTAATTTTTTTTTAGTATGTTTTTCTTTAATTTGTTGTAAGTTGATTAAGTGCTTTTTTATTTTTTAGCTTAAATTTAATGAAAAAAAAAACACTAGTGAATTATTTTCCACTTTCTTCATTCCTTATATTCCTTTTTCAAAACATATTCGCTTATATTGCAACTCAGCTGTCGTTTGTAGAGCTGTTTAAAATTTAAAAAGTTTCAACGGATTTCGCTTGACTTTATCTGCCGCCGATTTTGCTGCAATTAAAATAGAGTTGCGGTAAGAAATAAGTATAAAATTATTCCATTTTTCTTTTGTTTGTGTTTTGTTGTTTTAATTTTTATAAGAATTTCCTTAAATTTTATATAAATTTGCGTGGTTAGTAGCATGAGCAATGATTTGCATTTTTTCGTTTGCAGCCTGTGACATTTTTATCATATCGATACTACGCGTTCATTAATGAGAATGTCTTTATCGATAACAGCTGACTTGAGCACTTATTAGTGTGGGTTAACAATAAGCTCTGTGTCGCTCTAGCGTTACGTATACGCCATGTTGAGTGCTTATGCGTTTTTAGTAAAGAAGTAAATTTCATGATATATAAGACCTTTTAATGCAAATGGTTTAAAAAATATAAGAACATCGCAAAATTTATTACCAACAAAGATTTAAGGCACTTTAATGTGTTAGTAATTACACTTTTTGTTCAAAAATTTGTTATTTCATTTAAGGTACGCTAAAGTACTCTTACTTTTTATGTGATTATTCATTATGTATTTGTTTTGTGTGCTAAAAGTGATTTTTTTTTAAAACTTGTTTATTATTTTTTGTTGTTCTACTATTTTTTTCACATAAGTTATATTCGCTTTATTAGCTGTTTTTAGTTAAAATATTTTTTTATATCAATTTTGCACAAAAAAAAATATAAAAAAGTAGAACTAATAGACTAAAACTAGAAGACAATATGATAAAAAAAATAAATTAACTAAAATAAAATAAAATATATTATATTACATAATAAAATATAATAAAATAAAGTAATATAATAATATATATCATAATATAATATAGTAAACTAAAATAAAATAAAATAAAATAAAATGAAATAAAATAAAATAAAATAAAATAAAATAAAATAAAATAAAATAAAAAAATAAAAAATAAAACAAAATGAAATAAATTCAAATTAATGAAATAAGGCAGCACAAACTTTTTAAATATGAATAAGAAAGAAAGGGATTAGTTTTCCATTTCAGTACAAAAAAAAATAAAAAAAAGAACAAGTTAAACAAACTACTCGCTTTTTACCCATTTTTCGTAAATAAAATTAGTTTATTTTTTGGTTATAAAAATTTTATTATTATTTATTTTCTATTTGGTAAAATAAAATAATATGAGTTAAAGCGCAAGTTACATGTGTATGTATGTATGTATGTATGTATTCAAATAAAATTTGATACACGCACAAAATAAAGTTTCTAAGTATGCATATACTTATTTATAGCATACTTACAGGCGCGCAAATGCGCTCAATGTATATTATCAATGATTTTTAATGTCTACAATTTTTATTTCAAGCTTTCCATTCTATGTTCTACGTTACTTCTGCACAAATATTTAGCAATTTTTTTTTTTGCTTTTGCGTTTTCCGCACTTTTTTTTTTTCTCTAATAAACATATGGTTTTTTGGTTGTAGCATTTACTTCGTAAGTTAGTTGTTGCTTCTACTAGTGAAATTCGATTTTTTCCTTTTGGGTGTTTGTTCGTGTGTATTTTTTTTGGTATTTACTCTTTGAAGACTCTTGCTTAATGTGAGTGTGTGAGTAAAGCCAAAGCAGGTGTTACGGTGTTTGTTTACTTTTTTGCCCATTATGCATGTATGTATATATGTATGTATGTTTGTAAGTAATGCTGGATTAGATAGTTATGGTATAAATTTCATATATGTATGTATGGATGTTTATATGTGTATATTTAGTAGCAAAATTTATTTTTATTGCGACTTTTATGCACATTTCCAGCGCTTCTTTTTGTTATGCGTGTATGTATGTATATAATATGTATTAATTATTTATTTACCTACGACAGTTTTTTTTTTATTTTTTGTGTTTTTGACTAAGCGAAATATTTGAATAAAATTATGTATGTATGTTAGGTATATACATATGTGTCATTGGCAACAACTATTACTACAATCTATATATGCATTTCTATATATACATATATATATATATATATGTATGCAATTAGAGTACGATCCGTTTAACCCCACAATCCATACAAAACTTAGCCTGTTCGACTAGAAATCTAGCGCCACATTCATGGCAGAATTTCGACATTTTCATACTCGCACTCATCGCTGCATTCGTGCTCGACAGCGAGCTGCTCGAACTGTAGTGGCCTTTGTTCGCTGCGGTAGTGGGCGCAGCTGCCGCCGTCGACGACGCTGCTGCTTCTATGTCGGCTGTTAAGGCGGCGGCTGTTGTTGCAGCGCCGCTAACTGTAGCATTCCGTGTCGCTCTCTCTATTGTTGTTGGTGAGCTGAGTGGACTTTCATAGTGGTTGTTGTTATTATTGCTGCTATTATTTTTGTTGTGACCGGCATAATGTACGCTGTTGTAGCTATTGTTGCTGTTGTTATTATTATTATTGCTGTTGAGACTCTTGTTACCATACAATTGTTGTGTTTGTTGTTGTTGCTGTTGTTGTTGCTTATATTTAATATTGCAATCGCTGCCATCCGAATTTTCACTGCTCGAAGAGGCGCTCACCCGACGTGGACGCGCATTTGCCGACGCATATTTATACAGTTGCATTGGTTGTTGTGCCAACTGTTGTTGTGTGTGTTGTTGCTGCTGTTGTTGTTGGTAATGATATGGTTTTTGGTCTTGTTGTTGTGCATGCTGTGACATCAAATCACTTTGCTGCATAGTGGGCAGCTGTGCTGCGGCCGCGCTCGTGGCGGGTCGGCTGCGTGCAGCGCTACGATGCGGTGTGGTCGACAGCTCGGAGGATCTCTGGCGTGAGAGGCTAATGGGGGAGGAGGGAAAAATACAATGCAGATTAATAAAATAATAAATATATGAATTTTTAAGAAAATGGAGGAATCTATAAGGGAGGGGAAAAGAAGTTTCACTTGTGTCAAATCCAAAATACACTCGGACTGGTTTACATACCTCCCCGAAGGCCGACTGCAATTAGGACAAAAAAATTTTCTCTATCTTTGGTTTTTGGTCAGCCAAGGATTGAAATCAGTGACTCTACGCGTGGTGAATCTCCTCTCACTAGAGATGATCTCCTTTATCGATGTTTGCTTGATCATGGTGTCCTGTCAGGATATTGATAACCTCTCCGATTTTGTTACATACCAGACTTTTAAAACTCGCACCAGCGAGATCCGTGACAGCTCTTTTCACCCGAAGGACGAAGGAGTATCGAAGTTGGATCACAAAAATACGACTATAGCCGACTATATCTGACACAATCTCAACAAAGCGTTGTTTGCAAGGTAAAAGTACTTCGATCGGCCGGTCATAAGCTACGCACAGGGGATTAGCAGATAAAGAAGCTACACAATATCACAAAACCGTCTAGAGAACTCTAAACTTCTTGATACTGATAGCTGCTCGCAACTGACTCAGTCTCAGCCACAGCAAGAAGAACGCACAGCACCACGTGAAGATTCCATTCCGCAATACTTCAGAGAACTGTGGGACGACTTCTGCTACCCGTTGGCAGTTAGTTCTTTGAATCTCTTCCAGTAAATGTATTCATCGGAGGGCAAACTCTCTGCTGAGACCCTAGTAATCCTGGGTAAACTAACGAAAAGTCGGAATGTTCCAGTAGACCTAATACCTAACTAGTCCCAGCTTGACACTGTACACTTCTTCACATGTCTCTATAGAGTCGAAATAGCGCTTTTCGTGGGATTTACGTTAGAGCACGTCGACAACCTCAACTAGCTCTGCGTGTACCTAAACTACAAGGCGCTGTAACACACTCGGCTACAGCAGCCGGTCACTTTTGTCACTCAAAAGGAGCTGACCCTTTGGAGAGCGCAGAAAAGATATTTCCCCTCGCCCTTTTTCTACTAATTTTCACACATAAAATGAGATTTACTCAAAACTACTTACCTCCCGTACGCAGAGTCAGCACTTAACTTAGAGCCAACACCACGTCGCGACGACTTTGACGATATCGGATAACCATCCAGGCTGCTCATGTCGTCCGAGTCGCCGCACGCATCAAAGCTGACATCGCCCGATGCTGCATACATCGGTGCCACTGCACCCCCCACTGTTGTTGCTGTTGGTGGAGGCGAGGCGTTGTCATGCCGTGGCACATACGTACCACCACGACCGCCCATACCACCGGGCATGCTAAGCGGTTCGGTGCCATACAACATTGAGCCGTTGTTACCAACTGCATTCAGACCAGTCATGGCTTGACGAATATTGGCGCCGACTTCCTCGCTCATTTGTCGAAAGTCGTCTTGCATTCTTTGTATTAAATTCTTGGCATTATTCAGCTGCACATTCGGTAAATGATTGCCGCTCGTGAATGGCGTGCAATGTAAAAGCATATCTCCACCACCAATGCTTGCACCGATGTGGCTTGAATTGCCACCATGCCGGGGCGGTAACTGTTCATCGTCATCACTTATTTTGCTGAATTTATTGTCGCAACCGTCGACTTCAACTTCGACCATTGTCTGCGGGTTGCCGACCATGCTGCGCAACGAATCGGGCGATATTGGCGAACGACCATGTTCATTCGGTTCCGTCTCTATACTGATAAAGATTTCACGTTTCTTGTGCTCGGGCTCAGCGTGACGCCGAGTGGTTAATGCGACATCACCGCCATGAACGCCACTTTGGGTTTTGTTGAAGCGCTTCAGTTCCTCGTATCGATCGGATATTGGTGAAGATTCTTTGCTCTTCGGACGTGACTCATCGTAGGATCTGCGGGAAGAGGGTGTTAATAGGAGCGTGGGTTGGGAATATTTGCTCGAGCCGAGCATGGGGAATTGAAAGTGTGGTGTGGAATTGTTGTAGTCTTTCGTCTGTGTTGTGTGATTGTTTGCATTAGTGTTGCTATCGTTGTTGTTGTTGTTATTATTATTTAGATTTATTGAATTCGGCGTCTGCGTCGAACGTTGCTTATTCGACGAGCGATTCAAGAGAAATTCCCTACAGTCCTTAAACAGCGGAAATTGCTCATCGTCATTCTCGAATGACGAGAGAAATTCCTCAAAGTCAAAGTCGTCGAAGATTGGTAAGGGCGGTACGACGGGTGGCGTCTTTAGTGGTGCGGCGGCCGCTGCGCGTTGTTGTTGTTCCGCCTGTTGTTGTTTTACCAGTTGTTGTTGTTGCTGTTGTTGTTGTTGTAACTGTTGCTGCTGATACATTGAACGATATTTGGACTCGTAATACTCTACCGACGAACGGTTGGCCTCGTCATCAGCCGAACACGAATCATCGGCTTCGGGCGAGGCATCGTACAAGAAATGATTGCGTCCCAAGCGTTTCTTTCGATTCAACAAGTTTCTACCCTCAGCGGAGCTTCGTTGACTGAGTGTGGGATGAGCATGCGACTGTGTGTCGTCTGTAGTTGAAGGCCGGCTGGGTATTTCCATCGCTGGACTGGCCGCCACAGCTGAGGTTGCTGTGGCCTGCTGTGTTTCGGCTGGCTTTGAAAGAGGCAACAGTTTGGTAAGCTGAGAAATTGGACCTCCTCCTTGTACTGCCGAACACTCGGAAGAAGAAGACGAGAAATCCAGCTGCCGTTCTCCACTGCTACCGCCGCCAAGGGATTTCAATGAGCGCACCGTAGTCAGACTCACCGGCAGATTATCGCATTTATTTATCAACTTCGGATCGATGTATTCATTGCTGGAAGAACTCTTCACCTCTTTGCTGTAGGCGGAGAGCGTAGATGTTGGCGGTTGTCTAGAGTCGCTGAGTAGCGCATTCAAGTTGAGTTGCCGATTCACGGCAGGCAATTGTGTTGGCGTGGCCTGTGTAAGCGGTCTGTTAGTAGTTTGCTTCACAAGCGGTGTGGAAGTGGCCTGAGGCAAAGATATAGACTCCAAACGTAGCGGCTGTGTCTTCTGTGCATACGCATCTGCGCGCTCATACGGCGATTTGTCAGCTGCCGAGAGTGGTGTCTTTGGTACCGGCGTTGGCAGATGCTGCAACGAGCGTTCTTGTTCCTTGCGCTCGACAGTCGGCTGCGAAGTTTCGTTATGTTCGGTCTTAATACTCTTAGCGGAGTTTTGTTTACTTAAAGTGTTGCTTTTTTCTTTCAACTCCTTGGTTATGATGGGGTTGTGGAGATTCGTGGCTGACGTATTCGCGACAACGTTTTGCTCCTTTGGCTTATTCAAACTGGCGTTTGCGTTAGCATCTGCTGCGGCCTGCGCATTAGGCTTCTCCAGCTCTTTCTCGTACTTGAGGAAAGCCGCAAGTGAGTCTGTCTTCGATAGATATTTCGCAGCCGAGTTCATAAGCTCATCGCTGCTATTCACACCCATCATTGCGGCGCTATTTGGTGTGTTTGTTGCAGTGGTCGTTGCGTTGCCTCCCAACGCATTGAGTTTCAGACTTTGTTTACGATTCGAGAGGCTATTATCACGTCGTGTGACACGCGGACTTTTCGTGACGGCATAATCGTTTACGCAAACCGAACGTACAGGCATCTCATCGTATTCTTCGGGCTTCAAGAAATTCGTAGAGATGGGACCCTCATCCGAGAGACCACGCTGTATGGTTGGACGATGATTTTGTGCGAACAGCGGACGCGACGATAGCATGGGCGAACGGCGCGGACCGCGCAATGAGGATGTACGACGAAAGTTCGATGCGGTCTTGTTGTTGGTCATCGAAGGTGTTGCTGCTACGCGTTGATTTTGTGAGTTGGTCGTCAATGGACTAGAGTTTGGTGTGGAAGTGCTTAGTGTCAGTGAAGTAGTCATTTTTGCGGGCAAACCGGTTTGCGATGAGGGAGTTTGTGGCGAAGATTTCGGGAGGTTGTTGGGAAAGGAAGGATTAGTGGGCGGTGAGGATGAGCAAAGCTCATCAAGTTGACGTTTCGCCGAGAGGAAGGGATCATATTTGTCGGACGGTTGACCACTAAAAATATATATTGAAGGATTTTATTTTAAAAGCGTATAAAAATTGATAAATTCCTTATGAAACGTAGATAAAAGTGCGATACTGTCACTGTTTTATTATATATGTATATGTATGAGTAAATGCTAAGATGAAGAGTTTTTTTTTTTGGTAAGCACATTCCTTTACCCGCATACAAACCTGAGCACAAACGACTTGTCGCGCGTCAATTTCGGTGGCGCTTTTATCACCTTAATCTCATCATCCGTCTCGTCATCGGCCAGCGTACGGCTATCGCTGTCCTTCAACTCCTCGTCGTCTTTGTGCATTAATTTCGTCGGCGCGCCGAAGATTTCAATGCTCTCCTTGAGTAACGGTATTGCTTTCATGGGCGCGGCATGCGATGAGATCGATTGACGCACCAGCTTCTTCCGTTTCGGCCGACATATCGTCAGGGATCTTATGGCATTCACTTCCAGTTTAGTATGTGCGACAGCTGCGGACGAAGTGGTCGCCGTTTCGACCGTTGTCATTGCTATAGTCGTATTGGGCAACTTCTCGAAGGTTGACTGACGTGTTTGCAACATTTGTAGCGGCACTGTCAGTGGTGGCGTGTAACGTTGCAACTGCTGATGGCACGTCTTGCTCTCTCGCTCTTGTGATTGTTGCGCTTGCTTTTGTACCAATTCGTAAGATTGACTATTATGCACTTCGGCACATTGCCCCTCATCATGATCGGTCATTACAGTGCCCACATCCACGCGTATGTTCGGTTCCGAGGGCACTTTCGGTTTGAGCTTCGTGCGACGCTTTACGCCGTTATGTGTGATCGGCGTGGCATTGCGTGGTTGCGTTGTGGATTTATTGACACCCTTCAACGGGCAAGCAGTGTAGGTGAGCGTAGCGGTTAAGCCTTTGTCATCTCCCAGGCATTCTCTGGTCAGCTCTGCGCATGTTGATGGAAAAGCGTGTATAGCAATAAAGTGAAGTATGATAAAGAAGGACTCAAAAAATCAAATCTACTGAATTCGTGCAAAAGTGGGTTGAGACCCAAAGCGACTAAAATTCTTAGAACAATTTTTTCGAAATTCAGTACAAAAACCCAAAACCGGAGAATTTGTTTGCATTAGCTGTTGACGCTTAGTTTGCTTTTTGTGGCTGCATTGTGAATAGACGAAAACTGCTGCTGACAGCTGAGCTGACATTCAGCTCTGAACTCGGCCATTCCTAAAATACCCTTCAAGGCTTTCTTATATAGAGCCAGCCCGGTCAAATATCTACAACAACACATCACATCTCACCAGATTGTGTTACCATCAGCCAGTCCTAAAGCACCCTACCAGCCTTTCTTATATAGAGCCAGCCATTCCCAAATCACCCTACCAGCCTTTCTTATATAGAGCCAGCCAGGTCAAATATCTACAACAACACATCACATCTTACCAGGCAACGTCACCCTCAGACATGCCTAAAGCACCCAACCAGCTCCTCTTATATAGACTTAGCCCGCACAAATCTCGACAAAAACACATCACCCTCAGTCATTGCCAAGGCACCCTACCAGCCTTTCTTATATAGAGCCAACTCGGTCAAATCTCGACAACAACACATCACTCTCAGCCAGTCCTAAATCACCCTACCAGCCTTTCTTATATAGAGCCAGCCAGGTCAAATATCTACAACAACACGTCACATCTTACCAGGCAACGTCACCGTCAGTCATTCCCAAGGCACCCTACCTGCCTTTCTTATATAGAGCCAACTCGGTCAAATCTCGACAACAACACATCACCCTCAGCCATTGCCAAACCTACCTATCTTATGTAGAGCCAGTCCGGTCAATTATCTAGAGATTTAAAAGCTAAAGTACTTTCTTTGCGAATCTTCGGCACTTTGGTAGAATAGCGACTGAGCGACTTGAGCAAAATAGCGGAAGCGAAGAAAGCTGGTTTGCTAAATTTTACCCACCCATACGTTGGTTTGACTAGCGGTTGAGGGCTCTAGGGATTTTGAGTATCATCACAATGAGCCCATTCGCTGTCATAGCAAGACAACTGATGTTCAGCAATCACTTCAACGTGAGCTAACCTACATTGAATGGAATATAATTATTTTAGCACTTTTAATTAAATGAAGAAAGGTTAATTGCGCTTGCAGGACTAAATATTATATTTACATATTTCAAATTGTAGTGGCAACTCTACAAATACTCATCGTCATTCATCACTTCAGAAATCGATAACCGCAATTCCTAGTTTTGTCACTCTGTGCCGTGTATAAATAAGTGCTGCCATAAAAGCGTCTCTGCTTTCATTTTGACATTTGTAGTTGAAATTTGCCACATAAGCAATGTTGACAACAACTAAATGTAATATTTTGATGGCTGTTTATTTTTTGAATGAAAATGAAGTGAAAAAGTGTCGTGAAGAGAAGCAGTAAAGTGAGAAATGCCACGCAAAAAAAAATAACAAAAATCGTTGGCTAAGTTTTTTGTAGTTCATCCTAACCTCCCAAAAACTCTTATGCCTCTTCCCATGGAAATAAAATATAACTTTCCTGCGATGCGAAAATTCCCCGACAAGTGTTTTTGCTCAAAATAATGTCCACCAAAAATTTTTTTTCATCAATACCTGTAGCAGCTGCTTCATCGTATTTACCACGTGCACGAATCTTCTCAAACTGTGGCGATTGCGGTGGCGCTTGCGTCAATGATACTTCGTTTGCTGTTCGCTGCTGCTGCTGCTGCTGCTGCTGCTGCTGCTGCTGCTGATGCTGTTGCTGCTGCTGTTGCGGTTGTGCGCCAATCGCACACAATGTTATGCGTCGCTTTGGTGTCTTGAACTTATTCGCTTCATTTGTGACTAATTTTGAACCCATCAAACGGAAATTATCAAAACAAGCACTCTTCACGTAATCATCGGTGGCCACATTGGCGAGGCGCGTAGGTGAGGGCGGCGGCAATTCAATAGCATTACGATGGGCTTTACGTACGCGCAACGCGCTGTGGAAATCTTTCATCATAGTGGATTTTCTAGGTGTATGATTGGAGGAGATGAGGTTTGATGAGGCAAATTAATGAATGTTGATTGTGATGGAGTTGGTGCAGCGTGCGTACGAAGATTTTCGATTATAGTTAGATATATTTTAAAACATTATATCGTACTCTTATTTTGCGGCAACTCTACACGTGTTTGTGTTCGTTTTTATTTTTCAAATACAAATTTATAATTACTTTTTAATGAAAATGAAGTTTAACTACTTCCAAAAATATATGCAAGAGTTTGAGTGGTGAAGTGTGTTGAAATGCGTTAAAATGAAATGGCATGAAAATCAAGTAACAGTATCGCAAATAAATTAAAAAAACTACTGTTAATTAGTATAGATACTAAGCTATGTTATTACTTAATACTAAAATTACTAAAAAAACATATATTCAAATTTAAATATTATTTTATTTTATTATTTTTATAAAAAATATATGTTTTTTTCTACCGAAGTGCGTTTAAGCTAGAGATACTACATTCTTGAAAGATTTTGAGGCTGCGACTCGCAACAACTGCACTTTGGAAAAAAGTGTGATATACAAAGTGCTTCCACTAAAGTTGCCTAATTCACCTTCACCTAATTTATTTAAGTGAAAACTAATTTATTCATTCATTTATTCATTTATTGATTTCACAAACTAATTTTAATTGATTTTTTTTGTAATTTTGTTTTGTTCATTAAAATAAAATTTAAATCGATATAACCAAACTCACAGATAGTACACATTTAAACAGCTGATCGATATTACCGTTAATGTATTGTATACGATCTCTGGTTTTACTATCACTTTTAGCATACCATACATTGCCATACTTTAACTCACTTAAATAAAAAGCTGATCGAAACTGGAAAAAAAAAAAATTAATTGCGAATTAAAAAAAATATATTTTTTACGAAGATGAAAAGGCGATTTGAAGTGTGCATAGCGATTTTTATAATGAAACAAATTTCGATCTAAGATTTAGGCCTCAAAATTCTCACCAGAAGTCAGCATTTCTCCCTATTCGAAATTATACCGATCAATTAGTCTAACCACATTCATTCCAAAGGCGCTCGATAAGATTCTGGACGCCTACATTAGCATGCTTTATACGAAGGTTAGATCCATGGAGGCTACACTATACTCACTAATCGTGAATTTATAAAGAAAACTGGAGCATAAATAATGCAATTTAGGGATCTTTTTGGACATGAGTATGAACATGAACATTTAATAATGTCTTCTATGTGACAATAGTGGAAAATCTGGAAGCAGCACGGGTAGAGTCTGCCCAACTATTGTGGATAAAACGTCTGCTGAGTAGCAGGAAGATTAATTCGGAGTGGAATGAGGTTATGCCGCTCAGGCTAGCCCGTAGAGGAACACTTCAGGTTAGCGTTCTGTAACACAACTCTTCTGGATGAACGTAACGGAATTAGCTTGTGGAAAAATTCGAACAGAAAGCACCCAAACTAATTGCCTATGCGGATGGACCACACAGCTTTAGTTGTTACGAAGGTCGCACATTGCTGGATGATATCAGTCAATTTAGAGGTAAATGCTCACAAAACGGCTGCAATACTGTTCATAAAGAGATATAAAATCGTAACGTGGAAACTTTCGAGTCTCGAAGGGGTGGAGCTAACAATCAGGGGTCAAACCAAGTAGCTGGGACAGCAAACTTATTTGGAAGGTAGGTAAATTTCAAGGAAAGTGTGAAAAAGTTAAGGTAAAATGGACTTTTACGCATGTAAAAAGATGCAAGGAAGCTATTGGGGTTATCCCGTTGCCACAGTGATAGTTAAGCCGACAATACTCTACGGTATTCTAAAGTGGTGGCCCGCTGCTAACAAAATCTCGTATAGAAAACCGCAGTTCGCTGAAGCGCTAAGAACCATTCCACTTCCTCTTACTAACGAACCAGAACAGGACATACAACTTTCTCTAAGGAAATTTTTGGAAATAGTTGGCCACAGGACCAAAGTGAGATGGAACGCATTAGCTACATGTAAGACCACCAAGTTCATGCGCCATTACATCAAAAGATACACTTATGTCTTGCTTGCACGTTCGCATAAGGATCGCCAGACAGTTTTTGGCCTCATATTGTGCCCCAACCTACTGGCATCTCATGTAAGCAGAATGGAGGAAGGCATGAGTGAAACGTTAGAACACCTGGTTTTCTTTCGGCGGACCTTAGCTCAAACTTGTCTTAGATATCCCGGAGCTCCGTAGGTCAAAGAACTAGAACAAAATTGAATTTCGCTGAAAGTGTTGACGGCCGCTGAAGAGAGAGGACTTTAAACGCGATTCACCGAGAGTCAGTCAACACCTGCATGAACTAACTCTATTCCAATGTATGGCGTTCTTTTTTTGCAGACGCAGAGGTCGGGAGGCATGGATAATACTGGCACAATTGTGAGATAGATATAGTAATCTATTTATTTCCTAAATATCCGAACTTGACTTCGACATACCCAAAGTCTTATATCCGGCATGAAACGCGACCGCACGCGATTCTAACCACCTTTTTCAATGCCCTCCAAAAATCTACTAAACTAACTTTAAGCACCTCTGGTGTTTCGAGAAATTAAGACTAGTTCCGCCTGCTTCCAAGCGGAGTTGGGAAAACGATGCAACAACGTCAACAACATGCCACAATATTCACTTGATGTGTCATCAGCCGATTTTTTGGTACTCAAACTGTCACATCGAGGCATCTGTTTGCGTTTACTGGTAGACAAAAAAAAGGAAAGTTCCCGACAATAAAGGGAAATTTATGCCATATAATGTGATTCATGACTAGATTACTTGATTTCATAAATGAAAATTATTATTTTTATTTTTTTTATATTTGTTTATCAGTTCTTGGCACCTTTATGTTATTATACAATAGTAATTTTCCAGGTACCATTAACCTTTTCATATCATAGAAAATATATAATATATATATATATTTATAAAAAAATAACCACTATTATAAAAAAAAGTGTTTTTTCAGGGTTGCAGCATCTCTAGCTTAAGTATTCCTTATAATCACTAATCACTATGTAAATTTATCGATTGTTTGTTTTTGTACTCACCTTTCACTGGCTATTGATGATGTCATCGATAGTGACATTAGGCCGTTTGCATTCGTATTGCCGCTACTATTGATATTGTTGCTATTTTCTTTACTGCCGATGCCGTTAGGAAGGCTGCTGTTATTATTAATGCTGTTACTGTTGTTTGCGCTGCTATTGTTATGACTGTAAGCCGTGTCCCGTTTCACGCTCTCGCCAAATTCGTTCTCATCTCCAGCAAATCCCGCGTATTTATCACGATTGATTGAACGCTTTGTTCTGTAAAATTCCCAAACCCCCCACGAAAAAATATGTTGTTATTTGTATGTTATCTTGGCGCTATTTTTATATAAAATAATGGTAAAAAATGTAAAAAAAAAGTAGAAAAAGTTGCAAATGTTATAATTTTATCCTCATTTGTTGGGCAAAATATGTTTGCCGATTTTTCAATGTGTTTTATTATTTTCTTTTTTTTTGCTCGAACGCTTCTCTATAATCCACTAATTATTTTACACTACAACATTTGAGAAAAATAAATTAAATTTTTGTCAATCAATCAAAGTGAAAGTAAAATGTAAAAAAAAAAATTTAAAACCATGTAAAGAAAAGTCAACGCTTACTTGAGACAGGGTGCGCGATATTTAGTACGCGCCTCCAGACGCTCTTTGGCCAAATTCTGTTCGATCTTCGACGTTTGCTTGATGGACGCCTGCAGCGCCTTCTCCTTACACCACTCCACATGGCGATCGTAAGCCTTCGGACCGAAACAACGTTCGCAGTGTGGACACTGCTCGGCTGGCGGTGGTTGTATGCGTTTGGCGAGTGAACGATCCGACGAGCGCATACGATCGCGACTAAAGTTGCTAGCGCCGGGCAGTGAAGTTGTCGAGGCGGTCGATGTAATCATTTGACTGTTAGCTGTTGGCTGCTGGTTGGCGACGCCGACTGCATTAGTGGGCGCGGCGTTGGGTGATTGACTTTGTGCGTTAGTGGCGTTGGCGGCCAATTTGCGCATTGAAGCGCGTGCTGTGCTGCGTACCAAATCATCACCGCCGCTTGACTTTTTGCGCGTCAATATGGGTGAGGCAATGTGCTGTTGGGTGGTGGTTTAGGGAAATTTAGTTATTTATTTAAATTATTATTTTTTTTTAAACGTTTTAACTATGCAATTATCTTCACTCACCTGCAGTGGCTTTGGCGATTGTCCACGTAGCTCCTGTTTCGCTGGCGGCAAGCCGAAATTCTTCGGCAACGGATAGCTAGCCAATTCGGTGCCTTCACGCCTCTGGCGCGATGAATCGAAAACGTTACGTTTCTTGGTTGCCATTTTCTCGCATATGCCCACATGTTTTTGCAGTGTAACGGGATTGAAGGTGCGGTGACAGATGGGGCAAGGCACCAATTGGGTTGGTGCATCCGGATATGGATCTGTTGTATTCGCAATTGTGCTGCTTTTATCTGTTGTTGGTTGTTGTTTGTTGGAGAGACAGTGGTGAAAGGTAGTTGGAAAAATAGAGAAGAAATAGAATTTTAGTAAAAATAATATTTTTTTATTTATTTAAATTATTTGAGCGTTGTTGTATATTTTGAGATAATAATAATAATTTTTACATTCTATTTATTTACTTTTTTATACTTGTGTGTATGTGTTAATGACAATCGTGACAGTTGAAAAGTGTAGAAAGCAAATTTATGGTAAATAAATTTTTATTTTCCAAATTTAATATTTTCTTCTTTTTTTCCAATTTCCGGTATTAATTTGAATGTTGCCACAGTGTGGCGAAAGCAAAAAGCATAAGTTTTTAATTAAGTTGGCGCTTCATTAGAGTAACGGAAACGTACAAACGCATCTGGCACACGTGCTTACATACATAAAAACTTATATATACATGTACATTCCTCCAGACCTACTTTACATATACATAAATTCATATATATTGTATATATAGTTCCATATAAATATTCATGTTTTACATGTAAATTATTTTTACCACAAAGTACATATTTGTATTATTCATTGCTTCTTCTTCATTTTCTTATGCTTCTTCTTTTGGTTCTTGGCATGTTGCAATGCCAGGCGACAAATTTAACTCCACTCAGCAACTTTACGCTGTGAAAACAATGAACTTCTTTGTCTATTTTTAAATTGAAACAATTTTTTCATAGCATTGCATGCTGGCTACCCAGTAGGAAATTGAAGTATTATATGCATAAAGAATATACAAACCAAAAATTTAAATAATACAAAAAAATATATACAATATATATTGTAACGATTTTTGCTAAATAAGTCGCGTTGATTTCACAAATCCTTCGAGTTCGAAGACTGGATTGTCAAATAAAGATCTCAAAATTTTCTTTATTACTCCGCTTTACGCTACACTAATGTTGTCACTGCCGAGTACTATATTCAACTGAACTGAACTTGCTGTGCTGTGGTGTTCGCTTTCGCTCTTATATACCTAGAAATTTCTCGTATGCTTCTCTAGTAAGTTCTTATTTGAATATTCTCGACAACGAATATGCTTTAGTTATCGTCTTTTTCTGCTTACTTCATATTCGTGCTTAGTATTTTCTCCAAAAATACGTATATTTTTATTATATTTTTAAGAAAATAAATGTTTTATTGAAAATTGTTTGAAATAATCTATGTGAGCCATCATTTATATGGTGAATTTTGCTATTTACAACATTTGGGTACTTGCTTTTAGCTCTTCGTACGTAAGTTCTTCTGTAAGCAATTTAAAAGTTGTCCCTTAATGGTCCAAAGCCTGTATTTGCTGCATGCTCATAATTGACTGCACAAAAGATTACAAGAATTTTTATTCCAAATAAGAACCTATGGGTTATATGCAGACTCGATCTAATTTTATACGTGTGGTGGCGGAATCTGCATAGAGTGACTTGAAACAAACTAATCTTTTCGTCTAAGAAATCACTGTTGTGTTTTCTCAAGCGGAACTGGAGACCATACATCAAGCTAACTTCGAGGGTACTTTCGTTAAATTGTGCCTACTTTTTTTTTAGAAACGGTAGATTTTTCGCACATATAATGAATTGTGATCACTCTGAATCTGGTAGAGGACTTGGTATTGATATGGCGAATGAGCTTACAACGAAGTTCATTTTCATTTGTCTTTAGTCCTTTAGTGAAGCTCAGAAGGTGTGCTCTTCTTCGCTAAGCTTCGATGAGGTCAGGATAATGTAACCGATGTGGAGTATAAAAAGGCCATTAGCACTTTTCTCGCTCAAAACAGATGATCAATTATGGGGTTTCTTAGAGGTTTCCTTCTATTGTAGAAAGAAGAAGAAACTGAAACTGTAATACGTTTCCTTAACTGATAACCCAATGGTACATAAGTTAAAGTCCAAAGAGGTGGAAACAGAAACTCGATGGATTAAGTGATTTTTTACTCAGCAACCAACTCAGAAACATTTTTTTAAATATCTGAACACCACAGTAGCCGTATGATTAGCTGTACAAGCCTTCATGCGTAGGACTATCGGTCCAGACAAACAATTATAATTATTGAAAATTAATTTAAAACATTAAATGTACAAGTTGAGTTCGCCGCTTCGGCAGGGAATGTTCAGTTCTTCGAGTATTTCTCTGTCATGTAATAAAAGCTACTACATCAAGCGCACAGCATGCTTTGGAGCTTAAATTGGTACGAAAACGCTTCGGTAGTTATACATAAGCGCTAATTATATGCACGGCTCTTTTGGTTAAGTTTTCTCGTGCCTTGGTTGAGAGTCTCACATAATCTAGCTTGGAATATCATAATCAAAAATATTTTTTAGTACTCAACATTTTTATGTAATTAGTCATTAATAACTTAGTAATAAGTTTTTTTTTTTTACTTTATTCACCTATCACACCGTTCTAATTCAATTCCACAAAACAAATACTACTCAAGCACAGCCTAAAAGTTATCCTTAACTCAGGCACTGATATTTTAAACCCTCATGAAGGATCCATATAGCTCAAGAAGGATATTCCTGTGAACCTCCTACGTGGTTTATGGATGCTTAAACGGCTAATTGTTAGCTTTAGGAAATTTGTGACATGGCCAAGTTGGTCTTCACTTAATCATTCAGATGTGTGTCACATGTAATTAGTTAAAATTACGTATACGCCATGTTGCACTGCAATTTTTAATTCATAGAAATATCAGCATTAAATGCTCGGAATTATGTTTTCCGCATTTTTTTTATTTCTTTATTAGTTAAATTTTTTTAGTGTACAATAAATTTCCTACTGGGTTTGCTGATGAGTAAGCATAGCTTTTCGTAGCGTAACAAACATTTCACACATTTCATTTGGTGTAATGTGGCATTCCCGGAAATAAGCATAGATTTAATTAGAGATTCGTCGTATGGATGACTCATTTGGCTATGCGTCTGCCACTGTTCGTGTGATTTTAACAAATATGTTGTTGGCGGCCTCTAATAATTTAGGACTTCGAAGAGCTAATTATTATTGTAGTTGAGTGTGAAATGATATGTATGTGCATACATACATACATATGTATGTATTTTTTATAAAATTCGTCTTCATATGCGCTTTAAACATAAAATATAAAATATGTTCCATCCTAAAGTACCAAACAAGCAATCGATGAAAATATATTGTTATCGATTATTTTGCGTTGTCTCACTGACATTTGCATTAATTTTCTGCAACTATCAAATTTCAATAATACAATAAAACAATAAACTTTCCGTCCATGTGCGTATGTAGTCAAATACGTGTGTTTATACAAAAGAAAGTTAACGACAAAGCAAAAGCAAAATCAAAATAAACAACAGCAAATGAAGTAAATGTGCCAAAAAGTCCACTGCCTGCGCGCTTGCTATGCGCCGCTGTGAATTGTAGAACAGGTGTGGCGGCGCGCTTTGTAATAACCTTAAGTACATTGTGGGCTTTGTGTTTGGCTTTTATTACTTTTGTTTTTGGTATTTTTATGTTTTTTTAACAATTTCTGCACGTTGAAATTTAATAAAATATGTATGTACATACATATTTACGTATTTATAAATATTTATTTTTGTAAGCATAAGTGGGCAATGTGATGAGTGAAGACAAAAGTTGTAGAATGCAAGAAATATGAAAAAAAATAATATTAAAGAAGAAAAAAAATTAATAAATAAATGAAAAATAAAATCTTACTTGTGTGCCTACATACATACAGAAGTATGTATAATTTACCCAAAAAATGCCAAGTTTGTGCAAGTAATCACTTTGTTTTGAATGTAAGTGCTTTGTAGTTGGATTCCAGACAAGTTACCAAATTTGGACAACACGCGTTCTGGTGTTATGTGGGTTAAAGTTGATATACGTAAATGTAATATTTATTAATTTATAAACATTTAACGTAGTGAGAAGACTCGTTTTCCTCTCTTCAATGGAAACTAAAAGAAAATATGAACAATGTGAATACGATTAAGTAGGAATGGGTTGATCAGCGAGATCAACGGCTGTTGAGCTCATCCAGAATACACAAACACAGAGACATATGTACATATGTATATAGTGGTGAACACGCTATACTGTTCTTTGATGTTCCAGATACTGTAACAGTCAATAAAACACTCCTTTGGTTTCGTCGACTTCGTTCCGGTAATTTTCATCTAAAAAAGTTCCATCTCGTGAAAGACCAATTTCGATTGTCCAGGTGCTAAACATTGCACAAAAAATAATTTGAAATCACTTGAAAAAGGCTGGAGGCACAAAGCAGCGCGATGTATGGGTGCCTCAAGCCTTGAGTAAGCGAGAAAAACCTCATGCACTGAATTTATAACTGTGAATCGCTGCTAAAATAAATAAAAATAAAATCGACCCTTTTCTGAAGCTGCTGGTGATTGTGAGGGGTGATGAAAAATGGATCACTAACAGCAAAGTTAAACAGTCGTGGTCGAATGGTAGTGAGCCAGCCCAAACGATGTCCAAATCAAGATTGACGGCTGGGAAGGTTTTGTTGTGTGCTGCCCGAAGCACCCTGATTTGGTCAACATAGGGTACAACGCCAGACCAGAAGGTCCGAGAATCTCCTTAGGAGGTTTATGCATCCACCTTATAGTCCAGATCTCGAACCAAGTGATAACTATCTACGCTGAATTATTTGGTTGGTGAAGACTTGACCTGAAAAGAAGCCTGTGAAAATGGACTGTTCCCAATTAGGTATTGGTTCTGTGAAAAATTGCTGAATGGAGACCATATAGTTTTATGCTTTCGTCCTAATTTTTGATATGCTAATAGTCGACTGGGTTTCGCGCAATTATACACCTGGCCAGTAGTATGCTCAGAGATATAACCAGCCACGGTAGCATGAGGGGTGAAGGAATGCTGCCGAATATCACTCTCAATAACTTTGCAGCCAGTACTCCTTGGTCGGGTTGTTGAAAAGGGACGCCATGAATTTCGTTTGTGAAAGTCACAGTGAAGTAGAGAGAAAGGC